GGGGAGGGGGCTATTTGTCATTTTTGTTTACTCACTTTGAGAGGGCGATGTCGAGGCGAATGGTGGATTACTTCTGAGGGATGTCGAGGACAGGTGATCGGGGGACGCACCTGCACGCGTCTGCACACCTGACAGCAGGGTTGGCGGGAGTTTTGAATGGGAGGGAAGGTGACTGTGATGGTAGGGCGGTGGGTTTTTTTTTCGGGAACGTGAACGAGTCTGTTTATTTATTTAGTGCTCGAAACAACAGAAACATTTTTTAATGAAAACCCGGATGTTGCCAATGTTTAGTATTGTGAAGGACAAATAATGTTATGAATAAAATATATGTGAGAACATATCACTCAAATGCGCACTGATAGCATATTGAGAAATATTGAGAAATGTATGACACAATAATATAAAATAAATGACAATGCTCGTAAAAATACATAAACGCTGAACAGTAGTTGGAAAACAAAAATAAAATAAATTGGAGATATCTCCTGAATAAATGGGGCGATTGGAACGAATCGGGGCTCATTTTGAAGTCTGAAAAAATACCTTCAAAATGAAAAAAAAAATCGATGATTTTCACTTTGCGGATGTTGAGTTATTGAGGATTTAAAACGGTCTGTTTTTATCTGAATTTTAGACGAAATAAAAATCGTTAAATTTATTGTTCATTTCAGAAATTAAAAATGAGTTTTTGGTTTTGAGTTGTCGTTAATTTAATGACTGCTTGAATTTTCACATCCACTGGGGCAACTTGAGACTATGTTCTAGTTATTTTTTTAATGGATTAAGAATTGGAGTTTAATGAGGTGTGAAAATCGATTTTTTTTATTTATGTGTTTTGTGATGAAACTTCCTTTTGTTTTTCATTTTTTAGCTCAAAGCTGTTGTTGTAGATGAACAGTTGAAGGTCCTGGATGAGGCGTATGTCCAGTTCGACAATGATCTTCCGGAATTTCGGTAAAAATGAAGAAAACTAGGGAATTTAAGGGATTATTCGTCTAGATAAATGCCACATTTTTTTATAGCGCAATTGTTTATTGAGACGATTAAAAAGAATATTATTATTTTTTTACTCAATTATTTTTTTTATAAATTAAAAAAATTATAATTATTTGATTCAGTGAACTTTATTAATTAAATCCCACGGAATTCTCGACAAAAAAATCTCGAGAATTCAAGCAATTATTAATCTAAATAGATAAAAAATTATTTTAATAACGCAATTATCGACGGGACAAAAAATATATTAATTCCTTTAATTAATTAATTAATTAGTTCAAATCAACGAAGAAAGACGATAATTATTGAATTTAATCAACTCGATGAATTGAATTCGCGGAAATTCTCTTCGACAAAGTCTTTCGAAATAGTTTAAAAAACAATTAAAATTCCATCAGCACATATGGAGGAGTGATTCACAGAAAGCAGAGCCCGAGTGTCGTTCAGGCACCGTGTCTCATGTGGGTCAAGGCCCTGGACATGCTCCTGGACAAGCTGAGGGTATGCGGAGTGGATTTCGCCCGAGTCCGAGGTATTTCCGGTTGCGGCCAGGTAGGTCTTCGTTGTCTTTGATCCCGCCGATTGCATCATCACACATTTATTTTGATTGAATTCCGAATGGATTTCAGCAACATGGGACTGTGTATTGGAGCAGGGGGAGTCGAGAGACACTGAGGAATCTCAGACCCGAAAAATTCCTTCATGAACAATTGGCTAATGCCTTTGCTACGTCCATGGCACCCGTGTGGATGGACTCTAGCACTCGGGGGGAGTGTGCGATTATTGAGGAGAGGATTGGTGGTGCTCTAGTGAGATAAACAATTTTTTTTTTAATTTTGTTTAAAATTTTTCGATTTTTTTAATTCTAATTCTAATTTTTTTATTTTTTTTAATTCTTTGATTTTTTAGTTATTTTTTCGACTAATATTTTTTCAATTTTTTTAGTTAAATATTTAAAGATCAATTCTATAGAAAAACAATATTGAAACACATTTGCAGTGCGTTTTTTTAATTCGTAAAACACGTTGCAACAAAAAAAAATGAAACACATTTTTATTGTATTTTTTATTATTTTTTCTTTCTTGAAAATTAAAATTAAAGTAGATTTTCATTTCATCTTTTTCAGTGCTATATTGAAGAACTAATTTTATAGAAAAGGAAAGAAATAAAAAAAAATTAGAACACATTTTATTTAAAAAAAAATTTTCGTTATTTTTTCTTCTCTAAAAAATAAAATTTATACATATTTTCACTCCATTTACTCGATGCGATATTCAAGAATTGATTTTATAGAAACGAATGAAGTATAGAAAAAAATTGAAACACATTTTATTAAAAAAAACAATTCACGAATTTTCAATTTTTTTTTTTACTAAAATTACGAATTCTCTAGAAATTAGCTGAAATGACGGGTTCACGTGCTTACGAGAGATTTTCCGCCGCTCAAATAACGAAAATTCACCGGACTAGACCGGATGTTTACAACACGACAGAGGTAAACAGTCACCTTATTGACTATTCGTGAGTCGTAATAATTCCGCAATAATGAATTCCAGAGGATCTCGCTTATAAGTAGTTTCGTCGCCAGTCTTTTCATCGGGGATTACGCACCGATCGATCACTCCGATGGATCCGGCATGAATCTACTGGACATTCGAACCAAAGACTGGAGCGGCGATCTTCTCCAAGTACTTTTCCATTTTTAATTCTTACTTTTCACTGGAAAATTCCGCATCCAATTGATTTGTTTTTTATTTTCTTTTTAAAAATTGAGATTATTTATTATTTCATATAAAACAATAATTTTTTATCGATAAATTATGGAAAATTAATGAGTTGTAACACCTTAAATCATTAAGATTAAACATTAATTTTTAATGATTTTTTAAAATGAAATATCTTAATATTTTCTATTTAATTTCTGAATTTTGTCGTTTTCCTTTTCGACTTTATTGCATTTTTTTTATAAAATAGATCTGTGCTCCGAATTTACGAGACAAACTAGGAGATACGGTACCTTCTTATGCAGACCTCGGTCCCATTTCCAATTATTTCGTCGAGAGATTTGGATTCAACGAGGAGTGCAGAGTCGTCGCCTTCACTGGGGACAATCCTGCCTCTTTAATGGGTAAATTACTTCTAGATGTTAAAGGACTTTACGAGAGAGTGAAGGAAATTTTTTTCAATTCGATAAAAAATTAAAAATTAAAAATTAAAAATTAAAAATTGAAAATTAAAAATGAAAAACTAAAAATTAAAAATTAAAATTCTTCTGAATCCATCCATCCCCTAGAAAATTTCCAAATAAAAAATTGAAAAAAATTGAAAAATGATTTTCACAGGAATGAGATTACAAAAGGGTGACCTTGCGTGCAGCCTAGGGACCAGTGACACTCTATTCCTGTGGCTAGACTCGCCTAAAACAGTGACTGAGGGTCACATATTCTGCAATCCGCTTGACAGCGACGCTTACATGGCCTTGCTCTGGTAAAAAAATAATTACTGAAAAATAAAAATTAAAAATGCTGAAAATTCGGACATAATGAATAACCCATCGGCTATTGATCTTCAGAAAAGTTTATTCGATGATTGATGAATTATTCCCCCGGGGAAATAACACGAGACCATTGCTTTCCAGCTTTAAAAATGGGTCTCTGACTCGGGAAAGAATTCGCGACAGCGCGGCGGGAGGCTCATGGCAACTGTTCAATGAATTATTGGACAGTACACCGAGGGGTAACTTTGGTAACATGGCTATCTACTTGGACACCAGAGAAATTTTTCCCCCATTAATCGGCGACTACAGGTTCAATAAAGCTGATGAAAAAATATCAAGATACAGTTCCAAAGAAGTTGAGGTCAGGGCACTTGTCGAGGGACAATTTATCGCTAGGAGGGCGTCTGCTGAGGATTTCGGATTTGTCATAGGTTTTTCCTGCATTTTCATCCCCAATTTATTCATCAAATCATGATTTTTCAGTCATAATCTAATTATTTCATAATTAAAAATTTTCTAATTTTTTATTTCCAAATTTACTCTTTTTTCCATCGTTTTTTTGGTGACGAATGGGTTTAGGATGAAATGCCAAGAGATTTTTTGCAGGAAATGAATTTCTGTTGGAAAAACTCTCGACATTTCTTTCTAAATTTCATTTAAAACCGTCAATTGTCTAAATCCATATTTTTATTTTTATAATTGTCTAATTATCTTTCTAATGAGTGAATTTAGGAGAAAATGTTAGAGAACATTTTTTGTAGCTGAGGAAAGTCTCTACAAAAAATATTCTCTGACATTTCCTCCTAAAACCCCTCATTATCGAGATAATTGTGAATTAATGAAGATTAAATTTAGTTTCCACGTTTTTTAATAAAAAAATTCAATTCTCTAGGACCTAATTGTCGAATTATAGCAACTGGAGGTGCTTCTGCGAATAAAGCTGTCCTCCAAGTCCTCTCTGACGTCTTCAATTCCCCAGTTTACACTTCAGTAAGTGGAAAATGACATTATTTAAACATTTTCGTGTTAAATCTTGAACTTTACCCCCAGGAAATGAAAAATTCAGCTGTCCTGGGAGGTGCATACCAAGCGAAGCACGCCCTCCAGGGCCGTGAATCATCCTTCGAACGAATAACAAGTAGCATTCCAGAGCCAACGTTGTTGTGCCGACCCTACAGCGACGCTGAATCGGTGAGAAATCGTCAGTCCAGTCCCCAATTAATCCCTCAATTCCGGATATTTTTTGTTTCAGATATACAAACCAATGCTCGAACGCTATCGCAAGATCGTAGCCCAATTGTTAGAGACGAATAAACCTAGCTGAGACATTCCGTCCGTAATTGACTAGATAATTAAGTAATTAATTAATTAATTAATCAATTATAGTATAAATCAGGATTCCGCCCGAGGAGTTTGAAAAATTCCTGCAAGTCTAGTGAACAATCAACGAATTTTTGAATATTTTTACTACGAGAATTTTAATTATTAATGACTAATGAAATTAAATGGTGAAGTAATAAATTACCTCAATTAATTGATGAATTCATCGGGATGATTTTATCCTTTAAAATAAAAATTTAGGTAATAAATTCACTTTTTAAGAATAATTCTTCAATTTTACGTCTTCTAAATTAACTGTTCCTTAATTAATTAAATAATCACGCAATGAGGCAATCAATTGATGAATTCTTTAAGCCTTTCATTCCATAAAATCGAAATTTATTCCTCAAAAGCAGCTCACTCCATACATTCGCACAAAATTAATTCGAATCCACTGAAAAATCACTGAATTTCCAATGATTTTTATACAAAAATCTTGAGTAACCAATGACTAATACACGAAATCATGAACCAAAAAATTCCTCAAGATATTTTCTGCTCAAAATCAAACGAGTCCAAGTTGCTGAGAATAAGTTGATTTCCCCCAATACTTCTTTCATTAATTTTTTTATCGCAATTTTTTAAATTAAATCTTTTATCAAGTTAATAAAGTGCGATTACAATAATTCCCCAGTCTGATTAGAGAATTAATTGTGTCAAGACGATTCCCTCAATTCATCTTTAATTTTCTCACAATTCACATTCGCAATTCTGTTCATTAAACATTTTATCAACTTAATAACCTCCTCTCCAGTGTAAATACTTGCCAAGTCTGCTTTGAAATTACTGTCACCAAGACGATTGAATACCTGAAGCTTTTAATTTGTATTTTCTTTTTTTCTACAGTCGATTAGAACCCCTCAATTCCCAAAAATAATTCATCCCTTTTACTTCTTCCTGCCACCCCTCTCCTTGGGCAAGAGATTGACGACACTCCCACTGCTGAGATTATAGTACCCCAAGGAATTGAGATCCTTGCAGAAGATGCCCTCAGTCTGGATCTTCTGCTTGCCAGGCGGCATCCCAATCATCTCGCAAATGCTGGCCTTCAGAGTCGCCACAGTGTCATTCGGCTGGAGAGTGATGCTGAGGGTCTGTCCATTGAGCTTCCAGTCTGGTTTATCAGTCATCAGAGGAACGACAACACTCAGCTGGACAGGTCCCTTGTGCCTAGCGAGGAACTGCGCCTCGGGGATGAGAGAGTCCTCGCTCTTCGCTTTTTTCGCCGGCGACTCCTCCTCGGGGACACTCTCCATGGGGTGCTTGAGCCCCATTTGCTGAGGAATCGGTGGCTGCATGACCGGTGGCGCTGGCATGAATGGGGACATTGAAGGGGTCATCAGGGGTGGAGGTCTGATCGGTGGCATCGGCGCCATCATCATCATGGGGGGCTGGGGGGGCATCATCGGGGCCTGGGGCATTCCCATGTGCATTGTCATCGTGGGTGGTGGTGGCTGCTGAGGGACTTGAATGGGCTTCGGCACTGGGGGCTTTGGTGGGGCCTTCAGGGTTGCCTGGGGCTTCGAGGCAACTGCTGCCATGTGATTCAACTCTGCAGCTCGACTTGTCACCGGTTTTGGACCGATTTTCTCCTTCTCCTCGTCGGGGAGGAGACCCTTTACCTGAGGACAATTATATTGAATTAACAAATTTAAAAATAACAATATATTTTAATATTGTTTGATTGTTTTCAATAATTTAATTATGATAATTACATTGACTAGTGCACAGATTAAATCAATAACAATTAAGTCTGCGACGTTAAAATAAAGAGAAAATGAAAATTGAGAAATAAAAAAAATCAATATGTAATAAATACCTTGTGAATCTGATGAATTTGCTCCTCCAACGTGATATTGGCTCTAGCAGCCCTAGTAGCAGCCTCAACACTCGACGTGTGTCCATCCCAAGTGACTTTATCGTCCTTCCTGGTGTCCTCCTCCCCGATTTTCTTACCGATCGCCGTCTCCTCGTCCCCAATACCGAAAATGTCAGTACGTCTCTCAGCCAAGTGCTTCAATGAGGCGTTGACAGCAGCTCCAGAGGCGTAAACCGACTCCTGGTCCACCTTCTCCTGGTGCTTGTCCCTCTGCTCGACCCAGCGGGAGTCCAGCAGACCAATGTGCATGTGCTCCTCCACCTTCTTCCCCAGGATCTCTCCAGTCAGAGGTGACACCAGGATGACGTCCGAGGGGATTGGTCTCGCCTTCTGACTGTGCTGCTTGGGATCGTAGCCCTTACGAATGATCACGTTCCCTGGGGCTGGGGGCAGCGGTGGGGGCTGCATGGTTCCTCGGTTCCCAGGGGCGTTGGGGGGCTCACTTGGGGTCTCTTCATCACTCGAGTCCTCCTCCATGTCCTGGACCTGATTCGGGGATTGAAGAGTTATTATTTGGAGAATTTCGGGAGAGGTTTCTGGTAAAATAATTTATATTTCATAAGCTTCACTGAAAATTGACCATTTGGAAAGTAATTGATAATCTGAATTGGCGGCTGACTGTTGGATACACAATTGCAAATTTCTTGAAATTGATTTTCAATTGAAAATTTAAACTTATTGAATTAGAATTATTGTCGCTGGTTCGAATTCATGCAAAAGATTGTTATTTTTATTTTTTCTTTCATGAACCTAATTTCCATTTCTTTTAAATCGTTTATTCTCAAACTATTCTTTAATTAAAAATTCGTGAATAATTCTAAACTTTAATAGTTGATTAATGATTCATTTAGTAATGTAAGAATGGTTTAATACTGTCAATTTTACATATAACAAAATAATTTGATCCAAAAATAATTTTTTAGAATGATTTTTTCCTTTTCTCCTCTCCTCACTCAATAAATTAATGCCGGGGTAATGAGCATTAAAAAAAACCTTCAGTGTCCTTTTCACCCCCCATATGGACACCTCACCTGATTGTTATCCTTCGCAGATCGATCTCTATCATTTTCCGTCCTCTGAGGCATCTCGTCGTCCCCATCAGACTCGATCTGCATCTCCACGTCGTCTCCATCCTCGATCCTCTCCTGCATCAGCACACGCGCCCCCACTTCGTCTGGGGTCGTTGGAGCCGGGAAATTGCCGACCTCGAACTGCTGGTAGTCCACGGTCTCCACCACCACGAAGTCGTGCCAGTCTATCTGGGCGTAGGCCACACGCTCGCGCTCAAGCTCTTCCTCCTCCTTGCGACGCTGGGCCTCCTGGTACTTCAGCCATTCCGATCGGTATTTCACCTGGTCCAGGATGCTGTCCATCGAGGTGGACTCCTCCCGGAGGCGGGGGAGGAGGTCCTTCGGGGGGATCAGGACCTTTGTGTACTGCTCCAGGAGCTTGGTGAAGTACTGAAAGAGCGAGTGCTGGGGCCGCAGGAAATCGAATTGGAAGTTTCTTTGCTCGCGGTTCATCAGGTTCGTGAGGAACTGACGACCGTTTCGGGCGACGAACTGCGCGGTGAGTTTCACGATGTCTCTGAGGACGAGAAAATATTTTTTTTTTATGGAAAAAAATGATGAGGGAAATTTTTTATTGGCAATGAGGAAGAAACATTTTTTTAGATGAATGCATACAGAGAATTTCAAGACACTGTTTCTGTGCGAATAATTAAATTCTGACAATTTTATGATAAGTGTAGTAATTAAGGAGAGGATCCCAAAATTACCGAAGAGTTTTGAGTGCGATGTTTTGTATTCTGTAAATTCTTAAAATAGCCAAGCAATTTTCTGAAGAAAATTTCAGGAGTTGTAACATAAACATATCGTCCACAAGATGTTTTTAAAAACGTGGGAAGCTCTTAAGAATTGAGGTTTCATATTAAGAAATGAAATTATAAATTCAGATGAAGTCTGGTGAATTTACAAGAGAAAAGAATTAAAAAAATAGTAGAAAAATGCATAAAAAATCGATTTAAAAGAATTTTAACATTCGTTAAACATATTAATTCAGGGATATCAGAACTCACAAATCCAATGCTGATATTGAAGGCGGATCAGCAATGAACTCAAACTCAGCTGGTGGATCCTTCGGTACAAAAGGCTGTTCCACCTGCTTGAGGATCTCCTGCTGCTTCTGGTGGGCGCTCAGGGTGACTCCCCTGACTGTACCCACTGTCCCCACCGATGGCTCCTGTCCCCTTCCCTCCGTGAACTCCTTGACTTTGTGCTGATAGTAAGCATGATACGGATCCCCGAAATTCAAGAAATTGAACTTGGCGTTTCCCGTTTCGTTCTGGCGAATCCTCGACTCAAACTCTGGACCATTCCTGGCGACAAAGCTCGCAGTTTTGTCGACGATATCTGTTATGTTGATAATAAGAAAGAATATCATCTGGGGAATTACTCCTCAGCATTTTACAAACGTGAACATGATTTTTCAGAGAATTCCATTTTGAAGAAAAAGGAAGGTAAAACTGACTTTCTTAAATCCTCGATATCTCGTGACTGAACGAAGCAATTTGGACGAGTCAGGGGTCATTTCAAAGCTTGACAAATCCCCCTCAAAATGAAAAAAAAATCGTCCCATTTCACTCTGCCGATCTTGAGTTATCGACGATTGAAAGCGAATCGTTTTGCCCTCCTCACCCCTAAACCCATGTCCTTCCCCAAATCGTTCATTTATTCATTAATTAATTATTTCATCGTTGACAAAGGATACTCCTAACCTCCGGAGGAGGGTAGATGATGCCGACAATGGGCTGTGACGACGGCGCGACCTCCTCCCCCTCAATGGGAGGCGGTGGAACGACAACAGAATCCTGTCCTGGCATTTTCACTCTTCAATTGAACCAATTAATCACCACTTCACCACATTTTGTCATCGAAAACGATCGCAGGACTTTCGAAAATGTCCAACGGGTCCCGACAAATCCACGGAAATGAAACTCTCGAGCTCGTGGACTCACGAATGATCGGGGATTCCGCACAAAAGCGCCTCTAACAATCGAAATGAGAGGCCTCGCCTGATGTTCGTTGAGGATTCGCCCTCGACACGTGTGCGAAGTGCCCTCCCGGACATTTGTCCATTTGTCATTCGATTATTAGCCGGATCCACTGGTAATTATCCCGATAATCACACGTTTATCGATATATCAGTGAGCTAAATAGATTGAGCATTGAGGAGAGATGTGGGGATCGATGAGTCTCGTGGGGGTAATTAACCATTGTTGCATCATTCCAGGCTAATTAGGGGTTGGGATCATGCCTACTGTCGGCGTCAAACGTGACTCGCTGTTCAAAGCCCTGGGAAAAACATACTGTGAGTGAATTTTACGGTTTTTGCAGAAAGTGAGGTAAAATGGTACTTCTTCAATCTTCAATATTTCCTGAACTAATGAAACGATTTGGACGAGTCAGGTCTCATATTGAAGCCAGAAAGAATAGCTTTAAAATGGAACCAAATTTTTTGAATTTCACCCAGCGGTTTTTTTGCTATTGAGGATTGAAGCCGTTCATTTTATTCTGCGATAATTTATTTTGAGATTTGAGGGCTTTCTGATTTTTGGGGTTTTTTCAGCTGATGAGGAGTTCCAGACGCTGTGCTTCGCCTTCGGGCTGGAGCTGGACGAAGTGGTAATGATGGAGGATAAGATTTTTCATTAATATTTGATTATTTTTATTCTTTTGGGAGGATTGAGTAGAGGGGATGAAAAATTCATCGTGAAGAGGCGGATTTCTAGAGTTTTTTTAAGAATATCTTTGAAACTAGGGGATTTACCAGAAATTGTCGTGAAACCTTTTTTGTAGCCCGTAAAATTTTCTACAAAAAACGTTCTATGGGTTTTCCTCCTAATCCCAATAGATTCAGAAATATCCCCGAAATAAAGTGTGAGGAATTTTCCAGACGACAGAGAAGCAGATGATTTCGAAGGAGCAGGGAGTGGAGCAGAGTGCTGGAGCTTCTGAGGAGATCATCTACAGGATTGACATCCCCGCGAATAGATACGACCTCCTGTGTCTAGAGGGCCTCGTCACTGGGTTGTTGATATTCTTGGAGAAGTAATTTTTGACTCATCAGATATTTAAATAAAACTCGAAGCAAAATGTGAGACTGAAACAATTTTATTTCAGAATTTCAGCCCCTCGATACAAGACAATTGATCTGGACCAGAGAGAATCAATCGATATCACTGAGAGGGTAAGAAATAATCGAACATTTCGTCTCAATTTAATTAAATTATTTTTTTTATTTATTCATTCATTCACTCATTCATTTTATTCTTTGATTTATTCGATGAATTATTCTCTAGATGAAGTGACTTTATTATCAATTTATGATTCATTTGTTATTAATTTATTATAATTTTAAAATTAATTAACAATTAATTTTCATAATTATTCTTTTTAGTGCAAACAAATCCGTCCATACATCGTTGGTGCAGTCCTCAGAGGAGTGACATTAACGAAAGAATCCTACGACAGTTTCATAGATCTGCAGGACAAGTTGCACCAGAACATCTGCAGGAAGCGATCCCTCGTCTCCATTGGCACTCACGATTTGGATACTGTGAAGGGGCCATTCACCTACGATGCAAAACCACCAGAAGAAATTCGTTTCAAACCCTTGAATCAGGATAAGGAGTACAATGGACTCGAAATCATGGAACTTTATGCTGTGAGTCCTTCGAAGATTAATGAAATGGATTATTTAAACGATCAAAATAAATTATTTCATTCACTCATCTTTTTATGAAAATCACCTAATTTAATCATTTAATTAATTTTTTATTGGAATTAATTGAGGAAAATCACCAGAATTCATCGATAGAATTGATAAAAATTGGCAGTTTTACTTGATTAGTCCGTTTTTTTAATCAGAAGTTATTCTTTTTCGCAGCATCATGCACAATTGAAACAGTATCTGTCAATAATCAGAGACAGCCCAGTGTATCCAGTTGTTTTCGACAGTGAGGGGACTATTTTGTCATTACCACCGATAATTAATTCTGATCACTCGAAGATTACGTTGAATACTAAGAATATTCTCATTGAGGCCACTGCAACAGATCAAACGAAGGTATAAACATATTTTTTTCAATATTAAAGTTTCTTTAATGACAAAATATTTTCTGCAAGTTGAATTAAAATTTACAACATGAGCAAATTTATGAGTTACAAAGAAATGATTTCAGACAGTTGAATTAATTTTTCGTAAATTATTTATGGGAGAATGTCATAATCTACAGGAACAGATTTTTCCCCATTATTTTAATGTTTTTAATGTTGTAATGTTTTCTAACGGTTCAAAATGAATTCAACTTAGCTCTGACCTTAAAAATAAATAATATATAAGAATAAATAAATTGATAAATGGACTTGGATGAGCAATTAGTCAATTGTGCTTAATTAATTTATTTGAACTGCAGGCAGAAATTGTTCTCGACACTCTAGTCTGCGCCTTCAGTCAGTATTGCAAGAGCAAATTCACAGTTGAGACAGTGGGAGTTCGTGTGAACCCTGGAAAAAAGCCAATAGTCTTCCTCCCCCATCCAAAGTTGACGTACAGAACTGTCAAGATCAACAGCAAAGAGGCCGTGAATTACATTGGGGTGGAGTGCTCCCCAGAAAAAGTAGCTCGATTGCTCTCGAAGATGGGGCTACAGACGACTGTCGAGGGAGACGACCAACTGAGTGTGGAAATTCCACCAACTAGACACGATGTCATTCATCCCTGCGATATTTACGAGGACATTGCCATCGCCTGGGGGTACAACAACATCGAGAGGACCATCCCCCAGACCTCGACGGTTGGAAACGAATTCCCCCTGAATAAATTGTCTGATCATCTCAGGCAGGAGTTGGCTCAGGCTGGATTTACTGAGGCCCTCACTTTTTCTTTGTGCTCGAGGGAGGATGTCTCGGAGAAGTTGGGGTGGTGTTTCGATAAAATACCCGCTGTCACGATATCAAACCCCAAGACTCTGGAGTTTCAAGTAATTATTTCAACCAAAAACTCGATTTTTTTACGAGAAAAAAAAATCCGCCTGATTAATTCTGCGAATATCTCGAAAACTGGTGGGTTTAGGAGGAAATGTCAGAAAAACTTTTTTGTAGACGAGAAAATTTCCCACAAAAAATGTCTTATGGCATTTTCTGCTAAATTCGTTATTTGTGGAGATAATGAGAAAATTAACGAGAGGCATTTTTTCTTCATTCTCTTAAATTTGGAAAAACCTCGAGATTTTATTTTTTTTCACCGGGAATTGTCTAAAAATTGAATAGGTGGCGAGGACGTGTCTTCTTCCAGGACTTCTGAAGACAATTTCAGCCAACAAGAAGATGCCCCTGCCCCTCAAGCTCTTCGAAGTCTCTGATGTTGTTCTAAAAGACAAAAAAGCTGAGTGTGGAGCTAGGAATGAGAGGAGATTGTGTGCAGTTTACTGTAACAAATCTGCTGGGTTTGAGATCATTCATGGGCTTCTGGACAGGGTGATGCAGCTCCTGGAGGTCCCCTGGAGCGTCGACAAGAGCAAAAATGGGTATTACCTCGAGGCAGCCGAAGGTAAATCAATTCCTCAATTGAATTATCAAAACTCAATGCCATCGTCGTCAATTTTTCCATTGTTTTTACGCAGATCCGACGTATTTCCCTCAGAGATGTGCAAAAGTCATTGTTCATGGTCAGGTAATTGGGAAAATGGGAGTTTTACACCCGGAGGTTCTCCAGAAATTCGAACTGCACCTGCCCTGTTCATCAATTGAAATCAACATCGAACCATTCTTGTAGTGAACTTTTTGTAATTCACAGGAAACATTTTTATTTATTGCGTTTGAGGAGATCTAATAAATGAGGTCGCTTTTGCGTCTTTACACCAGTTGATTGTAATATTTGAAAAAAATTGGTGGTCATCAAAAAGTTTGTGACGACCAAGACAACTTTGAAAATATCTTGAGAAGGAGGGGATTTAGAAGGAAATTTCTCAGGACTATTTTTTTAGAAAATCCAATTCCCTGTAAAAAAGGTCTTATCATACTTCCCCCTAAACTCTGTTGTTTCCAAGATAAGGAGGCGTTTCCAAAGCACTCAAAAATTGAAAATAAACATGTGTAAATGATTTCGCAAAAATTATTTTAAAAAACTATAAAACCCTTCCCAAATTTCGATTTGTTCGAGATATTTCATTTCAATAAATTAAAGTTTGAATAGACTCCAGTTGAGTCGTTGAGTGTAACAAGGAAAAATAAATTTAAAGACCCCAAAAAATCATTATTTTCCATTTGATAATTTTTTATATGAACTCTAACTTTGATGAGTGTAAAATAAATCCATCAAATTCTTTCGCAGATTATTTTATAGACGACAGTCTCTTGTTTGACTAGGGTGTTTCCATCAGTGGCACCCCTGCACGTTCGAAACACGCCATTTCGAGACACCCAGAAGCAAAAATTATTAATTTTCGTAATAAGTATAAAATTTTAATTTTTTTTTTTCTAATTTTTCATGATTTTTAGGGGAGGTTGGGGTAAAACGAACACTTGACTTTTTAAAATATGTTAATGAAGGGTTGAAATATTGATAAAATTTAACAATTTTTTTTTCAATACAAAGAATAATTTTGTCCCTTTGTCCCTAAACTGAGCTCAATTGATAAATTTGTTTCTGAGTTATAAATTTTAAACTTTAAAAAAGTCCAAACTGTCCATTTTACCCCACCCTCCCCTAATTTCGTATTTTAATCTTCAAAATTCAATTCACAATGAAAAAAAAATGTAAATTTATCGCACTTTAAATCATTTTCGTTCCTTTACTACACTTTCACGAACGAATTCCCCAGACGACTCCCAAGGAAATCTCACAAATGAATTCCCCAAATCCAAAATGACTTCTCCAATTCAAAAACCCTGCGACTGACCGCCAAAAAAATTCACCCGTCGCTCCCCCTGACTCGCTCACTGCCTAGTCTGTGTCCCCTCCCCCAGGCTTTCGTACCTATCCTCAATCTCCGCGAAAATTCTCGCCGTCGAGCTCCCCCGGCCGCGCACCCCCTCCCACCCTCGAGTTAACATCGTTCGTGTACTAGGAAACGTAGTCGTTTGCTCATGGTTCGGCCACAGTCGGCCATAGTAGACATGGCGGATGTTAGCTTACGTGAATGACGGGCGAAGAATCGTGGTGTTGAAGAGAAAAAAAATTGTAAAAAAACGTAAAGAACTCACCGAATTATTGTCACGTCCCTGCATAACCGATTATTCCCGAGGCATCGATACGTTCCTCGCGTTTTCGTGGGAATAAATAGCGAGGAAAAATCAGACAAGGGGGATAAATACCCCAGTGATTTGAAGTGTGTGTTGGTGGCCACGGGGTAGAGAGCGATAAAAAAAAAATTTGTGTCATATGATTAATCCGGTAGGTAAAAATGCAGAATGTAGCACAAGGAACAACCTCGGATAGCCAGAAGCACGATAAAAATTGTGCTCAAGAAGTAACATCTACACCACAGTCCTCGAACTCTAGCCCAACAAAGTCAGAGACCGAGACCTTCTCCGAACTACAGCCACGATTTATGACAGACTCATCGGAAAGTGAGGAGGACAGTATTTCCGAGGTAATGGGGTCTCCACCATTTTTTTTTCTCCTCTTTTATCATCCCTGTTGTGTCCGTTTTTGCGCCAGTGGAATGCGGTAATTGTTCATTTTGATCGGCGAGGGGGGGAGGGGGGTCTTCTTGGTCTATTCAACACTTTTTTACGTCCATTTCCATTGCGCACGAGGGGCGGCCTTTCGTCCGCATCGCAGTATTCTCGGGGCCTCATGCACTCCAATGCAATTAACTGCTTTTCAGTTTTTGGTTTTTATTTTTGGGACTCGGGTCGCGGGGAGGTTTTGCGGGGGGTTCGAGGGGGTTTTTCGGGTGTCTGTGTTTTGGTTGATCGCTGCATGATGACATGATCGGATAATCAGAGGTTTGGCCAATCGAGACCGATCACGTCGTGCGTCAACAATTTATTCGTCACGTTGAGAATAATTAATGAGTAATTAGAGTTTGAAGGGGTTTGGCAGGGGTTCGGGGGCTTCGGGAATTTTTAGGGGATTGGGGGGGTGTCTTCATGGCTTGGGGAGGGACGTTTTCACATTTTTGCACGTGTTTTTGGGGATTTTGAATTTTTGGGGAGGAAAATGTCAAGAGGTTTTTGCTGGGGATTCCGCTCTCTGCAGTTTCTTTTTGTTTTTTTTTTGGTAACAGTTGCTTGGGGGGTGCTTGCGAAGATGCTACGATTTTTTAATTTATTTTTTATTTTTGGAACACATTGTGGAAACTTCTGGTGGAGAATTAAATTTGTTAAAAATTTCCGGTGAAATTTCTAAATAAATTCGGTGACAAATCTTGCTCCAATGCCTTTTTTAGATCGTTTTGGAGATGTTTAATTGCTTTGGGATCCACTGGGGCCAGGAAAACATTTTAAAATTATTTTTTTCAAGAATTCAATTTCCAAAGGGAATTTCTCTTGACATTTTTCTGCGAATGCAGCAGTTGGTGGGGCATCAACAGAAATCATTACACAAATTTTTAATTTAAAGTCTTAGTATCTTGGAAACTCATGAGTTTAAGAAAAACTTCCAAAATACTTTTTTTTATGGAGAATTCAATTTCCTAAAACGAAACTTTCTCGTGACATTTGTGCAAAAAAATCTGCACAAATTTTACTTTAAAGGATTCGCAGATTATTCTAGAATTGTTTAAGTGTCTTAGAAACCAGTAGATTTGGACATTCATGGTTAGACATTCATTATCGAGAAATTTAATTCCCTCGAAAAACAATTAGCTTCTAATTTTTTCATGACAAGAGCTTTTTTATGTCCTTCTTCACTTTTCTAATCATCTTCTCTAATCATCTCATTTCTATATTAAGAAAACGAAGGCTAGAACATCTGCAGATTAGTAAACACTTCCACGTCCTCAAAAAAACTGTAATAAACATTTGCTCTACAATTTCCAAAACAAATCATCGACATAAAATTTATGAAAACAAGTTGAAAAATGAATTGAAATTGAAAAAACAGTCCATTCTCCCGGATTTAATTGATATTAACTCCTCCAATGGGTGGATTTTCCCTCAATTTTGAAGTCAAATTTCCTCTTTCTCTCGATAGCCTCTGAATTCCAATCCTCCCAGCAGTATCCGCAACGTCGCGTCAGGTTGCCCTGAGTTATGTTCTCTTGTGCCTGTTTTCAGTGCCTTTGATCCGAGAGGCCTACGACCTAGCCTCTTCTCCCACTATTACACGAGGGGGGGAGAAACACCAACTCTTTTACTCTCAACAATCCGGGGTACAACTGACTCAACTCAACTTGTAAATAAAAACCTCAACATCATGAGTTGAGTGGTGTTTCGTGCAATCCCAACGTCAATCTCTCCACTTTCATTATCAAAATAATGAGGGAAAGAGGGAATTATTGTTATTTTTATCTTCTGTGTGATTAGTATGAGAGATTGAATCGAATGAATTTTTTTTTCACTATCTCGTGCCAATGTGTATTTGTGTTTGATTACATAACATAACAGGAAACTGAAGAGAGATTGTCAGGAGTAAGTGAGCTGGGAGATGTCAAATTCCCAGTGAAATCAGTCGCTTTTTACCTGAAAATTCACTAGAAATTTTGTTATTCTGGGCATTATCGGAAATGTCAGAGGATATTTCGTAGAGAATTTAATTCCGTAAAAAATATCTGACATTTAGAAAAAGTCCACTTGATTTTTTCTGTCATTCGTTGTTAATTGATTAATTATCTCGGTAATGACAGGGTCTAGGAGGAAATGTCGCAAGACATTTTTTGTGGGAAATTTAATTCTCTGCGTAGAAGATCTTCTGACATTTTTCGCTGCACCCAGTAGTTTTCGAGATATTCACAGAATTGATAACAAAGAATTGGCGATTTCGAGGAAATTTGGGGTTTTTTTCTAAAAAATGTGAAATTACGATAAATTGACGAATAAATTCGAAAATTACGATTCTCTGGTGCTTCATGCATGAGCCCACAGCACAATAGTCATTACTAGACTATTACCAGTGCCCACATCCCCTATTTGCCCAGACAATCCGACCCGTCTCAATAAAAAAAAATCGTATTTCGAAATTATCGAAGCCTGCATGACGCCTGCAAACGTCGATTTCCCTTGGATTCGTTCGCTCCCTTCAACTCCACCGACAATCGACCAATCTAGATCCCGAAAATAGCCGTGTTATGCTCCGAATTGCAACATTTCGGTGATTCCCCCGGTGAATGTTGAAAAATTCGTATCTCACATTCTCCCTAATTGCGTAATGCCCTCGAAAACCGTAGCCCCGAGGGCAGAACATGAAAGGACCAGTCTGGTAGATCATGAAATTCTCTACGAAAATCATCTGCTGACATTTCTCTTAAAGGCCACCGTTACCCCGTGAAACACTGAGACTTTTCCAATCTCATTCTGCATCTCCATAATTTCTGGGATTTGTAATATTACTTGATTAATTATCTATTGGGTTAATCGAATCCTCAACAATTGCCCCCATGGGTGAACTAAATAGACAACTAATCCCAAAAAATTAAACCTCTTTCAATAATTTTCCAGTTTTTTATAATAATGAAAACATTTATTTTTTTCCTGGAAATTTCTCATCATTTCCATCATTTCTGAGGATTTGTTCCTTTTATTGATTAATTATTCATTGTGTAAATCGAATCCTCAACAATTGCCCCCACAGATCAATTAAATAGAAAACTAATCCCCATAAATTTTTTCAATAATTCCTCTTTTTTTTTCGAGTGAATGAATCCCTAAAAATTAAAATTTTTCATTATCTTCCTAATTTCTGAGGATTTATTCCTATAGATGATCAATTATCTCTTGATTTAATCCCAACTAATCCCAGAAAATCAAACTTTCCAATAATTCCTCATTTTTATTCCAGCGAAGGAATCCCTAAAAATTCTAATTTCTCATAATTCCATAATTTCTAAAAATTTATTTCTGCGCTCAACTAACTACTCATCTTAAAATCCATCAATCGTCCACACATTGTCCCCTGAACCACAGTTCCCTAGCTGATTCCCGAGTTAAACAAATCCTAAAAATTCACATTCCCCTCACACCGTCACTTTCATAAATAAAAAACCCCTTAAAGAATAAATAAACTAAAAGAACAGTTAATTTCACAAACTCCAAAAGGTTCTTCGAACAACCCCTCAGGAACCCCTACCGAATTTTCCCCGCATACTCCCCTAGCCCCTCCCAAAATTCCCAAAAATAGCCCCCAAATTTCCCCCGAAAATCTCTCGAAAGCCCTCCCCCCTGCGCCCCCTCCCCGCGAATCCCTCATTAATCCTTTGTTACAAACCAAAACCCTCGAGCCTCTCATCCCCAGGGACGTAGCCACCTCAAGGGCCGACCCCCTCCCCCCCAAAAACCCCCTAGAACCCTCCCCCCCATGAAGTGTCAGTATGATCCACCGTGGAATGGCTGCACATTGTTCAATCCTCTCATTTTTTATAATACATTAGAGCGTTTTGTGCGCGATGGTAAAGCCAACCCAACCGACACGAACCCGAGTCAACCGAGGCTCTCAAACCCATTCCGTACAACAATGACGTATTGAACTCACAACTTGTACTTTCACTCGTGTCTTCCTCGTCTCGAGTCGCTAAAAAGTCCCTGACAATAGTCAAAAGCCTCGAAAAATCCCTGCAATCCACTGATCATCGATAAAAAACCGTGTGAACACCCAGAGTTTGGCGAATTAGCCGTGAATTTTGGAATTTTCAATCGGGGAGAGGTTGGACTGAGTGCCACGGAGTCGTTCGATGCCCCCTTCGCAGTGTCCTTGTTCCAGAATGTTAAAAACCCCCTCTTGATGATTAAAATTACGATTTAGGGTGGGTTCACGGGCGGTGAGGGGGGCCTTGAGGTTCATCGTGAGTGTCATTGTTCCGTGATGTTCTCCTCTATTGTCCGTATCAAAGTGCATTATTTTCGGTGGCTCATGTAAACTCACCTAGAACTTGATCGAGTCGCCCCGCATTTTTTCGTGATGAATGGCCTCTGTCTCTCTCGCTCTTGCGTTCCAACGCTCATAACCTCAATTGTTACATATCTCGGGTAGCGGAGATTCTGATGGATTGAACAGTTCCTGTGTTGTGGTTGTTATAAACAAGTCAAATGGTCTCATGTGTTTTGATTAGTTGATTTGACCAGTGCCATTGATTCGCCAGTTTTCACCGTTTTTTTTCCCCTATTTTTTCCTTTACAGCCGGAGTTTTTTCGTGCTGCCATCGAACAAGCTGCACTCGAAGAGGATCATCATCTGGAGTCGTCGAAATTTTTACTGACCCCTGAGGATCCGGAGAGATCTGTCGATCCGGAGACACAGGCGAGGCTTGAGGCACTGCTTGAGGCCGCTGGCATTGGAAAATTGTCGTCTGGAGATGGAAAACATCTCGCTGATCACGAGGTACTCAGACGTTTAACGTCCAGTGTTTCTTGTGCACTTGATGAGGCTGCTGCTGCATTGACACGTATGCGCAGTGATAATCCGAGGAGTCAGAACGAAAAGAGGTCGCTTGTTGAGGCCTGCACTGACGGGGACGTTGGAACTGTCAGGAAGTTGCTTACTGAGGGGAGGAGTGTTCACGAGACCACTGAGGAGGGAGAGAGCTTGCTGTCGTTGGCGTGCTCTGCTGGGTACTACGAACTTGCACAGGTGAGGGGTTCAGTGGATTTTATGGAGTTGGGGAGGAGATTTCGAGGGTGAAATTGAGGGATTGGCGAAAATGAGGGGTTTTTTGCCGATAACTGTAGTTTTTTGGAAATATCTTCCGAAGGAGTAGGTTTAGGGGAAAATGTCACAAGGAACTTTTTGCAGAGCATGAAATTCTGCACAAAAAAGGTCCTGTCGTGTTTTTCGATAAACCCAGTGGTTTTTGAGATATTCAGGGACGAAGAGTTTAGAGTAAACTGGAAAAAATAAGATTTGTTGTTTTGGAATTCTGTTTTTGTGAATATCTCGGCAAGGAGTGGGTTTTGGGGAAAATGTCACAGGAAACTTTTTGCAGAGCATGAAATTTGGCATAAAAAAGGTCCTGTGGTGTTTTTCGATAAACCCAGTGGTTTTTGGGATATTCAGGGACGAAGAGTTTAGAGTAAACTGGAAAAAATAAAATTCGTTGTTTTGGAATTCTGTTTTTGTGAATATCTCGGCAAGGAGTGGGTTTTGGGGAAAATGTCACAGGAAACTTTTTGCAGAGCATGAAATTCTGCACAAAAAAGGTCCTGTGGTGTTTTTCGATAAGCCCAGCGGTTTTTGGGATATTCAGAGACGAAGAGTTTAGAGTAAACTGGAAAAAATAAGTTTCGTTGCTTTGGAATTCTTTTTTTGTGAATATCTCGGCAAGGAGTGGGTTTTGGGGAAAATGTCACAGGAAACTTTTTGCAGAGCATGAAATTCTGCACAAAAAAGGTCCTGTGGTGTTTTTCGATAAACCCAGTGGTTTTTGGGATATTCAGGGACGAAGAGTTTAGAGTAAACTGGAAAAAATAAGATTTGTTGTTTTGGAATTCTGTTTTTGTGAATATCTCGGCAAGGAGTGGGTTTTGAGGAAAATGTCACAGGAAACTTTTTGCAGAGCTTGAAATTCTGCACAAAAAAGGTCTTGTGGTGTTTTTCGATAAACCCAGTGGTTTTTGGGATATTCAGGGACGAAGAGTTTAGAGTAAACTGGAAAAAATAAAATTCGTTGTTTTGGAATTCTGTTTTTGTGAATATCTCGGCAAGGAGTGGGTTTTGGGGAAAATGTCACAGGAAACTTTTTGCAGAGCATGAAATTTGGCATAAAAAAGGTCCTGTGGTGTTTTTCGATAAACCCAGTGGTTTTTGGGATATTCAGGGACGAAGAGTTTAGAGTAAACTGGAAAAAATAAAATTCGTTGTTTTGGAATTCTGTTTTTGTGAATATCTCGGCAAGGAGTGGGTTTTGAGGAAAATGTCATAGGAAACTTTTTGTAGAGCATAAAATTCTCTACAAAAAAGGTTCTATGATGTTTTGCGGTAAGTCTAGTGCTTGTGGAGATATTTGTAAAGAAAGATTTCGGAGTACAACTGAACAAATTATGAGTTTTGTTCATGTAGAATTCGTTTCTTCCAAATGGAAAGAATAGTCCAGATGAAAATATCAAGAGAGTTTTTGAGAGAATTTTGTTGGGCTACAAAAAAAGTCTTGATGTTTTTTTAAAAATAAATAAACTAGTTTTCAGGATATTCATAAAAAAATTGAAAGAGAAATATGAAGAGAATGTTTTATAAATCATTTCATGAGCTACAAAAACGCTCTCCAGCAAATTGTCCCGCTCGTCCTTTGACCTTGGAACCCTCTGTTTCCAGGTCCTCCTCGCGATGAACGCCAACGTGGAAGATCGTGGAATAAAGGGTGACTGCACCCCATTGATGGAAGCAGCGAGTGCAGGTCACGTGGACATAGTCTCCCTTCTAATAGCCCACGGAGCAGACGTGAATGCTCAATCGACCTCGGGCAACACTCCCCTGATGTACGGTTGCGCTGGTGGTCACGAGGACGTTGTGAAGGTCCTCCTGGAGGCAGGTGCCAACGTGGAGGACCACAATGAGAACGGTCACACTCCCCTGATGGAGGCAGCCAGTGCAGGCCACGTGCCAGTGGCTAAAATCCTTCTGGAGAACGGGGCAGGGATAAACACCCACTCCAACGAGTTCAAGGAGTCCGCCCTGACTCTTGCCTGCTACAAAGGCCACCTGGACATGGTGAGATTTTTGTTAGAAGCTGGTGCTGATCAGGAGCACAAAACCGACGAGATGCACACAGCCCTGATGGAGGCATCGATGGACGGTCACGTCGAGGTGGCGAGACTTCTCCTGGACTCTGGGGCCCAGGTGAACATGCCCACTGACAGCTTCGAGTCACCACTGACCCTGGCAGCCTGCGGTGGCCACGTGGATCTTGCCATGCTGCTGATTGAACGAGGGGCGAACATCGAGGAAGTCAATGACGAGGGATACACCCCCCTGATGGAGGCAGCACGCGAGGGCCACGAGGAAATGGTGGCTTTACTACTGAGCCAGGGTGCCAACATCAATGCTCAAACCGAGGAGACCCAGGAGACAGCTCTCACCCTCGCCTGCTGTGGTGGCTTCCTCGAGGTCGCTGATTTTCTCATTAAAGCTGGAGCTGACATTGAACTTGGTGCATCAACACCACTTATGGAGGCTGCACAGGAGGGACATCTCGATCTTGTCAGATATCTACTGGAATCTGGTGCTGATGTCCATGCCCAGACACAGACTGGTGACACTGCACTCACTTATGCATGTGAAAATGGCCACACTGATGTTGCTGATTTGCTTCTGCAGTTTGGCGCTGACTTGGAGCATGAGTCGGAGGGGGGCAGGACACCACTGATGAAGGCATGCAGGGCTGGACATCTCTGCACTGTTCAGTTTTTAATATCGAAATTAGCGAGTTTAAATCGTAATACAACGAACAATGATCATACACCACTTTCGCTGGCTTGCGCTGGGGGGCATGTGGCTGTTGTTGAATTGTTGTTGGCACAGTCTGCTGATCCATTCCACAAGCTCAAGGATAATTCGACAATGCTGATTGAGGCAGCCAAGGGTGGCCATACCAATGTTGTTCAGTTGTTGTTGGATTATCCACATTCTATCATGATGAATGCACCTGGGGTGGCACCTGGGATGGGGCAGGGGGTGTCGCAGGGACAGGGACAACCACAGGCCAGTGGGCAGAATGGTAATCCGGTGCAGGGACAGCAGGCCAGTGCTGATAACAATCAGGCGAAGGGCAATGGCAAGAGTCTTTTGAGGAAAAATCATCGAGCCACCACCATGCCTGATGTGGGCTTGACTTCTGCTGAGGCACAGCAGGTCAGGACACAGCCTGCAGGCGAGACTGGCACTGTTGCTGCTGCTGTCGATGATACGAATATTCTCGATAAGGGGAGTGGGGGATTTGGGGGACTCACTGAGCCCAATATCACGTTGAGCCCTGGACAGACTGCCGGGGGGGCGTCAACCTCTGGCGATGGCAGGAAGAGTGCTAGGCATGAACAGATCATGCATAAGCAGCAGATTCTTGAGGAACTGCAGGTTGGTATATCTCAGGGGCTGCAGAGTCCAAACATTTTCCTAAACTAAAAGAGTAGATTTAAATTTTCGACTTCAAGTTTCTCAATAGAATTTTTTAAAAGTCAAGTCGTGGAATTTATGGATTTTTAGAGAGGAATTTTCATGAGAAGATTTTGTTCTTTGGCGAAAAATCAGCTGTAAAAAGTATTTTTAAATAATGATGTAAAATTAATTTTACTGGATTTTGAGCTTGGATACTAAATTAATGGGAAAGAACTTCAAAAACGTGGCATTTCAGAGGGTAGAGCGTCAGCTTCAGTACAAGGGGGCTGGGCACCTGTTCCTGGGTACACCGAACCTCGAGGAACAGAAACGCCAACAGTCAACTGGCGATGGGGCTGACTCCACCGATGCAATACTGCCAGGAATGATAAAGATCGACTTGCCAGCTCAACCAACCACTGCTCCCTGTGGTGAGTACCAAAATAATTATTATACTATCAACAATCCTCTCCATTAGCCCATATTTCAGTAGTGAAGTGATTCAATCTTTTTTATTTTTGCAATTTTTGTGTTAAATTGAAATTTCAGTAATTTTGTATTTCCTCAATAACTAATTGATCAATTGAAAAATGTAAAGATGAATTTTCTCGTAGAAAAGTAGATAATTTCCTATGTAAAGGAAACAGCCCTCTTTTGTTAATCCCCTAATCATCTCGATAACAAGTAGATGAATCGTAAAAGCCCCTAGATATTATTGCACTATTAAATTCCCTGAAAAAAATATCAATACCTTGACAACTCCTTACGCACCATGAAAAAACACTTCACTACTGAATCAGCCCCTCACAAGTCCCTAAACCCTAAATCCCTAAACCCTCCCCTTCCACCTAATTAGCAATATAATAACTGAGTGTCTCGCACGTCCAGCATTATCTCTCCGCAAACCCCTCGGTCTTGTCACCCAACCCCCTAACACCACTCAAAAAAAATTTAAAAACCCCTTGAGAAACTCGAAAAGACCAAATGGCACAATCGTTCGAATGGTATTGGTGTTTCGTTAGGGCTAGTCTGCGGAACATCAGAATTATCAGGTGACCATCAAGACCCAGAGGCACTGTCTTTGTGTCAAGCCATTGACCGAGGCATCAGTATCGGCAAGAGTATCATGCTGGAGGAGCAACTGAGAACAGCTGTGAGATCCCTGCCACTAGCTCCCAACGAGCCACAGATTCCAAATGTACCATCAACATCAGCCTTGACAACACCAACTGTTTTAACATCAGCAACACCAGCCCCAACATTTGATTTTCCAACAAATGCTATCACCCAGCTGCCAGTGAGCCAACCACATCAAACGATAACAACAATCAGCGATGTCAGTCAAAATACAGCAATCAGCGATCGTCCAAAGGCGAAACCAGTGTCCAAGAAGGAGGGCAAGAACATTCGTAAATCAGCCATTGCTTATGGGAGATTTCTCCAACGTGCTGCTGTCCTCGAGGCCGTACAGCAGGAGAAACAACAGACCACCACTATGTTTGGATTGCAGCAGCAGTATGAGGACAAACAACGACAGCATACCTTTCAAGTCAGACAGGTACATCAGTTACAGCAGTTGAATCAACAGTTACAACTTCAGCTCGATCAGGTGCAGGTTCGTCGATTGTTTTAATTGAGAAAACAAGTTAGTGGGGGATTATTCACTTTAATTCTCAATATTGGGGGAATATTTGAGGAAGACCTGGTGATTTTGGGAACCGATAAAAATGGCGAAGACATTTTTTGCAGAGAATTTAATTTTTTGCAAAACATTTCTTCAATATTTTCGTCTGAAATTACTTGTTAATGAGATGATTTGTTATTTAACATTGCGTGAATTGTTGTTTTTTTGAAAAATGATTTTTTGTGCTAATTATCTTGTTAATGAGTAGCTTCAGCAAAGAAAAAGTGTTTTTACCATTTTTTTCCAAAATTATTCGTTAACGACATAATTTTCCAATTAAAAAAGTAAAATCTCAATTAAACCCTAGATCTATCTCTCGGCTCTGGCAATTATTCCCATAACCAAAGGTTCCAGGAGAAAATGCCTCTTGGAATGTTAAACGCGCCAATTCAATATCAATTAATTCGCCTGTGCATTCCGTGCAATAATCATCTGTTCTCTTCTCTCAAAATTAATAATCAAATTAACTTACTGATGTGATAACTGAGGAGAACCGATCCGACCTAGAAAAGCCTGAGGACTAAACAGAATTCCAATTTAAAAAAAAAAGGGGATGATAAACCACTTGTCGCTAATCTCTGAATGCAGGTACAACAGCAAGAACAACAGCAACCCCAACAGCAAGGTGTAGTGGTGAGCAGTGGAGTAGAGATTATGATGCCAAGTCAACTTGTTGCACACCTCCACCCCACACAGACCCACCAAGATAATCAGCAAGATCAGGTATTAATTGAAAAACAAAAAAACAACACAAAAAAAATTCAAAAATACTGAGAGAAGATTTTTGCATTAATCTGAAATCCTAGACGAGCCAGTGGCTGATGAGGCCCTATTTTTGTTAATTTCTCCACCTGTAGAATACATTTGTTGTATTTATTTATAACCATGAATGTGGGAAGAAGGCTTTTCTGTTGGATTTAATTAATGTTATTGAACGAATTTGGATGCTTGAGGAGAAATTTGTCAACTGATGTTGTTGAATTTTCAATGTATAGCAAACCAGCCAGCTTAATATACCGGATATGGAGAGTGATTTAACGAGATTACACAGAGACAGTGCTTGTCCATTCTTTGCTGCTGCACAGAAAGCTAAGGCACTTGCTGCCGATGACAAAGTACTCAAATTAGATGATGGAATGCAGATACCTATCGACGAGGTTGCCGAAATTATCGAATCCATTACCTTCGACGATGTGCCTAACGGTAATTATCACAGGCGAATTATGTTGAGAGATTTTGTCATGTCTGGAGATTATTTTTTATGTGTTTAGGGGGATTGTTTTGTGGTTGTTTGATGGTGGGGATTTTTATTTTTCAGCGGGAACCGAGGAGCAGGAGAAGGGGGAATTGAAGAAGATGGATGTGAGGGGATTGGACAGGGATCAGAGGAGGGAACTCGCTGAGGAACTGCTCTCTGCTGATCAGAAAACCATTCGAAAGATGTTTGAACAGGTAAATTGAACACAATTTTTGGATAAGAATATTTTTTTATCAAATTATTTACATTAAAACTCCAGAGAATTTTTCTATATCTTAATTATTTAAGACAATAGCGGCTTTAGAATCTTTAAAATTGTGCTTGAATGCGAGGGTTATTAAATTTTTTCAAATCTACAAGATGTTTTCAATTTTGTTAAATCAATTTTTAGGATTCTTACCTTATTCATCAATTCAGTGGCAATGAAATGAATGAAAAATAATAGAAAATGCACTATAGAAGTCAATTTGTTATTTCTTCTCTCTCATATTCCCAGCAAATTCTTTCATTTCCGAGAAAGCCCTCATGTCAACCCCAAAAATATCAGTTAACGCCACCTCTCTTCCAGGAGGCAAGTGAAAAAGCAAAACGCGAAGCAGAGCGCCTGGACCCAATAACAATGGAGGCATTCCAGCGAGGTTACTCGTACGCCCGCCGTCAACGAAAGCTGGACAGTGACCTTTACGAGCCCCAGCCCCCAACGCGTCACGTCCAGCCCCCAAGCCTCGATCGTTTAGCCCAACAGTCCAACGGTTTCGCCCAGCCCTCGAGTTCAACGTGCAACGCCACTACCACCACCAACGTCAACGCAGGCACCAACACACCCACCACGCAGGTGCAGGTGGCAACCCAGACCCAAGGATTAGCAACTCCAGTCCCGACAGCCCTGGATAAGAAGCAAGTCTACACAGCGAGTGCTGGTACGAAGGGAAAGAAAGCAAGATATCCCCTGGCGTCTCCCCAAACCTGTCCTCAACAGACCACTGCCACATCAACACCACCAGCATCAGTCCAGAATTACCAGTTGGACCCCAACACTGTCAACACAGTGGTCCAATACTCCAGTGGCACAGTCTCCACGAATACAACACCATCGTCAACGTACACCCCAGTAACACCAAGCACCCAAGCCCCCATGACTCAATTCTCGGTGATGGACGTTGATTCTGAAACAGACAGCAATCACGACACAGCTCTGACACTTGCCTGCGCCGGTGGCCACGAGGAGCTAGTTGAATTTCTCCTGTCACGAGGCGCTGACATTGAACATCGAGACAAGAAAGGCTTCACACCACTGATCCTAGCAGCCACAGCTGGCCACCAAAAAGTCGTTGAGATACTACTGAATCATGGAGCTGACATTGAGGCACAATCAGAACGTACCAAGGACACTCCACTCTCCCTCGCCTGCAGTGGTGGTCGCTTCGAAGTTGTGGAGCTACTGCTGACAAGAGGAGCCAACAAAGAACACAGAAATGTATCTGATTACACTCCCCTGTCCCTCGCAGCGTCTGGTGGCTACGTCAACATAATAAAACTTCTTCTCTCTCATGGAGCTGAGATTAATTCCAGAACAGGATCTAAACTTGGAATCTCACCGCTGATGTTGGCTGCTATGAACGGCCACACTGCAGCTGTTAAACTACTCCTGGACATGGGGAGTGACATCAACGCCCAGATCGAGACTAATAGAAACACTGCGCTGACTTTGGCCTGCTTCCAGGGAAGACACGAGGTTGTCAGTCTTCTTCTGGACAGAAAAGCTAATGTTGAGCATCGAGCGAAGACGGGGTTGACACCTCTGATGGAAGCTGCCAGTGGGGGTTACGTCGAAGTTGGAAGAGTCTTGCTGACTAAGGGAGCTGATGTGAATGCCACACCTGTTCCTTCATCACGAGACACTGCCCTGACGATTGCCGCTGACAAGGGCCACTGCAGGTTCGTCGAGCTCCTGCTGTCTCGAGGAACTCAAGTCGAAGTTAAAAATAAAAAGGGAAACAGTCCATTGTGGCTGGCTGCTAATGGTGGACACCTGAATGTCGTTGATCTGCTTTACCACGCTGGGGCTGACATAGACTCTCAGGACAATCGTAAAGTCTCGTGTCTCATGGCTGCTTTCAGAAAGGGCCACATCAAAGTCGTCAAGTGGATGGTCAACCACGTGACGCAGTTCCCCAGTGACCAAGAGATGACGAGGTACATTGCAACGGTTAACGATAAAGAGCTGTTAGTCAAGTGTCAGGAGTGTGTGAAAGTCATCAGAGCTGCTAAGGAGACACAAGCAGCTAAAGCCAACAAGAATGCATCGATTCTCCTCGAGGAGCTCGACATGGAGAAGACGAGGGAGGAGTCCAAGAAGGCTGCAGCTGCCAGGAGACGCGAGCGAAAGAAGAAGAAGAAACTCGAGAAGAAGGAGGAGAAGAGAAAGCTGCACGAGGAGAACAAGAAGAACGAAACAATCTACGAGGACAAGGAGGACGTCAAGAAGTCTGAGGACGAGGAGGAGAGGGGGGATGAGAGTGATAATGAAGGGGGTGCTGACAGTTGTGAACGAATGGACAATGTGCCCTCACCATCGCCTGTCAACAGGAGCCCCGATGATCCTGATAAGGAGGAGGGAGACAGTGGCATCGATGCTAATAGCCAGGGGAGTTGCAGCAGCAATGATGTGAAGGCCAGGGAGAGGAAGAAAGAGAAAAAGAAGAAGAAGAATTGTAGTCCGAGTAGCAATGAGAAGGATTCGTCACCGATCAGGGGGGGCTCCAGTGTTTTCTCCTCAAGTTTGAATCAGAGTGTCTTGGGGAAGAGCCAGGAGAAGAGGATTACTGCCAGCAGTAGTGGAATCGCTTCATCATCTGGGTTAAATGCACGTTCTTCAGCTAGTTCTAGTTCTACTTCTGGGGTTAATGTCAGCGAGAGGAAGATCAAGGGACAGGTGTTTGAGTCGTCTAGGCATCCGGCTGAGAGGGAGGACTTTGAGGCAACTGGCAATGAGAATTATGTTCCAGGAAAGGGGAAGAAGAACAGTGGCCAGTATGAGGAGGTGTTCAATGCTTCAGTTAAGAGCAATAACTCGACGAGTCCCAAGGGCACCAAGAGGGAGGAGGGATGGAAGGAGGTGGTGAGGAAAGGACAGTCCGATGACTCCAGTAGGTTCATGAATTCACCATTCAGATCGAAAAAGGTCTCTGTTCCACCGAATGCCATTAGCAGGGTCATTGGAAGGGGTGGCAGCAATATCAATGCCATTCGTGGAGCCACTGGTGCTCATATCGAAGTGGAGAAGCAGAGCAAGTGCCAGGGGGAGAGGATCATCACTATCAAGGGCTCCACTGATGCTACCAAGCAGGCTCATACACTCATTGCTGCTCTCATCAAGGATCCCGATGTGGACATACTGCAGATGTTGCCCAAGAGCAAATTGACGGTCATGACTTCGTCCACTTGGGATAAGTCCATGGTACCAGCTGCTGCTGCGATGAAACCGAAAATGGGTCCGGTTACTAAACCTCCCACACCGTTACCAGGTGCAACAGGTGAGCTATCATTTATTACAGTTTATTATACATTTTATTTTGTTCATTTCATAATTATCTCGGAAGTCATGATGACAAAACTTCAATGAAATATTAAAATTTAAATCCCATCGCCCAGTTATGCAACACCTAAACCACATCAATTAATTATATTGTCGAGATGTTTTCACTTTTGGGCCTCCAATCGAAGGGATCAATCTAATTTCTCCCTTCTCCAATATTCCAGGTATCCATCCGAGTAAATCGTACACAGCCCCAGGCATATCAGTGCCCCAACTGGTGCCCCTTCGTTCCACCTCCTCTATAAAACTAGCAGGTGCCTTCTCCACTCCCCTATCACGCGCCACAGCTCCTCGATTAATTGCCGCAGCTGAAAAACGACAGTCCCAGATAACCACCTCCACAAATACCCGTACGACAATGTCCTACACATCAGCGATAATGACATCAGGACGTGCCACAAAAGTAGTAACAACAAGCACTGGTCAGACATTCGCTGCTAAATTATCAGACATCACTGCCTCACCAATGACAACAGTACTGTCATCAACCTATTCAACAGGCACCAAGCAGAAGGTAATTAATACCATAACTGTGATGTCCTCGTCATCATCAACAACACCGATGACATCGCCACAGCAAATCATGACGTCACCCAAGCACTGCCGTACACTGCCGAATTTATCAGCTCCAACGATGCAGCATTATCAGAGTAATATAACTAAAAATTCATACACAACAAATTCAACTGTTGTCACATCATCGACTGTATCAAATGGGCCAGAATTGTCGGTGAATGCAATGCGTGTAACACCATCGCCACCAGCACCTCAGGCCCCACAATCTGGCAATTCTCAGGGTCACAATCAGCAGAATCAGAGTCAGTCACAAGGCCAGACTCAGTCACAGCCCCAAGCCCAGAGTCATCAGCAGATGAGATCGACAACACCAGTACCACAGACCCACGATCAGCCCCAGCCAACCCAGCAGGGTGCAATCCAACCGAACACACCCCTCGAGTACTCCCTCTTCAACGACACATTCTCCAAGGTCACACAGCAGTCAATGTGGGGCCGTGAGAATGAGTCCCACCAGAAGGGAATGAACTTTGCAACAGTGGCTGGTGGAGGCTCGTCAGCGGCATCAACAGCCCCTCCAAATAAATTCATCGACAGTGCACCACCTCAGGCTGATGCATCCAAAGCTCCTGGGTATCGTGGTACTGCCATGTGTTCACCAGTCTCCAGTAAACAGGCATCAAACACTGGAGGCAGCACGATTAATCAGGGGGTGTCACCGGGGATCCACAATCCCAGCATTCAGCCCCAGTTTCAATCGAATATTAATTACATCGAGGGGAATAAATCGACTGGGCTAGCTGTCACCAGACCTGTCATCAATCAACAGAGCATTGAGCTCCCTGTCTCCATGGGACAGTTCAACAGATACCCAGACATGCCTTCCAGGAATGTTCAGGGGGCCCATCAGCAGAGGGAGATGCCCCCACAGTCCCAGAGTGCTCCACCCGTTCAGGAGAGACAGCAGGAGAGTCAGGGACAACAGCACATCATGCCATCAAGTTCACAAGCTAATATGGAGATGTTTAAGAATAATAATGGTGGGTTCGATCCATCCATCAGTAATGTCAACTCAAGCCTCCTGAAGATGGTGCCTAATGAGGGACAGCAGCATCTCATGCCTTTCCACCCTCACATGCAGAGCTTTGCACCCTCCAGCCAATCAGGCAGTGTCAACACCACTGTCAGCATGTCCAGGCTGAATCCAAGGGCACCAGATTTCTCGAGTTCACTTCATGTTAATAATAAACACCAGGTGATGTTCAATGCTGCCAGTGGTATTCATCCGAATATGTTCGCTGTGCCTCCACCACCTTCGGGCATGCAGAATAATCACGCGATGCTCGCGAATTTTCCCATTGGCAAGTATCCGGGGAGGGGAGGACCTGCTGGCAACATTGGGGGAAGCACCAATGGGCACAGGTGGTTTGGACCCCATGGAAATTATCCCCATCAGGAGCCCATGATGCCTCAGGTGAATTTCCATCTCGGGAATATTGGACAGAATATGGAGCTGATCCAGGGACTCGAGAATGGGGGATCGCCGGCCATGTCGCCCTCTTCGTCGGCCCAGGTCACCCAGGAGATGAGCCAGATGAAGATCGAGGACAGGAAGGTGCCCAGGCCCATTGGCACTGAGAGGGCTTGGAAGAACTATAATGCTGGGATGGGACCTGGGGGCGATGCTGAGGGGATGAACTGGATGCTCAATAGTGATAAGGGCGTGGGGAACTGGCCCAATGTTGGGGGAGGAATGGAGAGACAGATGTTCAGGGGGGCTGGGTATGGACGCGTTGGGAATATCGATGCTGAGTTGCATCAGATGATTGAATCAACTTTTCAGGTGAGTTTTACGCATTTAGAATTAAAATTCAGTAGCGAAGTGGTAAAACGGTTTAAGTCTATTTTCACTATTGGCCAGTTTTCAGCGAATATCTCGGAATCTAATGGAGATAGCAAAATTTTTGTTATGAACTTTTTTGTAGAGCCAATTGAGAGCTACAACAAATGTAATTACGAAAATTTCGCTATCTCCCTTAGATTCGGAAATATTCCGCTGACTTAATCCCATTATATTATTTTATCATTAATTATCATTAAATTTTATTCATTCATTGGGTTTATTTGATGATCTCGTCGATAATTGATTAATAATTAATAATCATTGATTGATTGTTTAATTTAGTCAATTAAATTCGAATAATTGAATTGAGTAATTGAATGAATTTGTAAAAACTGAATGAAGATGAATAGAATAATGAATTGAAATGAATAAAAATATAATTTTACGTATAATTATGAATCAATAATGATTTATTAATCATTTTGATAATTCAGGGTCACATGGAGAACCCTCAAGCATTCCCAAACGGTACAGCAGCAGGATTATCCCTGATGCCAGGACTCACCCTAATGCCAGGCCAGTTCTCCAATCCCCCAGCTCTCCAGGAGCTCCCTCCACCGGCTGAGCCCACGAAAATTGATGCACCCGGCTGGGGAATGGATCCCAACAATCAAGATAAGCCGCACCCGGTAAAATACATTTATTAAAATTCCCCTCCCCCTTTCTTTTGCCCCTCGCCCTCTCCGAAACCGCAAAAAACCCGATTAAAAAAAAAAACAAAAATACGCAAGTTTAAAAAAATTGTAAGACAAAAAGCTTTACTCATGTAATTTTTCTGTAGGGATGGAACAACAAATGGACCCATTAAATGTTAGAACTTGATGCGAAAAATAATTAATACAAATTAAGACAGAAAAATAATTACCAACAACTGGGAGATGAAGATGATCTTACCCTTGATATAATGGAAGACAGCGAGAAACTCGGAAAGAAAATGATAAAAAAAAGGAAAAAAAACTAGTAGTTGTAGTTGATGAAACTGGCATAAAGCAAGAATGCGTTGGTTCTAGACACCACATTAATTACATTACTATATTCATTGACACCCAGACAACAAAAAAATCCAATATTACTTGTCATGATAGGTGATAAGGGATGGTAAAACAAATCCTTACTACAATTTATTGCTATTATTATCTTCTAATATACTTATTCGATACCAATAAATAAATTGGAACAAAATAAAAAATGGTAAAAATATATTAAATGATTATAATAATGAGGAGTTGGATATTGTGGCGATTGGAGGCTGAACGATTAATTAACGCCTTGGGATGTGTTGCTCCATGATCATAAAAATCATTTAAAATAAATAATGAACACACGGGCGTGTTTGTTTTATTGGTCAAACGCAAAAACCAATTATTGTGCGAAAATAAATGAGAGATGATAAATAATATGAAATATACCGTAAAATAAAAAATATGCTGTTTTGTTGCTTTTTTTATTTTTCCCTCTTCAGGTGGATGACGCTGCCAGGATTTACAGTTCTGTCGAGACAATTCATTGTTTTAATTTTTTAAATAATAAATTAGTTCATGTTGGAGTCATCACAACTGGTTTTCTTATTTTTTTATTCATATCGGACAAAAATGGAAATTTCTCAAGATTGGTAGAGTGAATTTTGACGAATAAAAACTCATTTTCAAGATCATTAAAATACCTTGAAAATGAACTCAGATTTATTGAAATCGGATCATTTGTTCAGGAGATATTCAATATTTCAGAAAATTCATTTGATCTCACGAAGTTTTGTATTTTCTTTTTTAATGCCATTTCGACAAGAATAAGAATATCTCAGGATTGGCAGAGTGAATTTAAAAAAATAAGCGTTCACTTTCGAGGTATTGTACTCATCTTCAAAATGAGTGCAGAGTCATCTAAATCGGATCATTTCTTCAGGAGATATTCAACATTTTGAGACATCTTTTTTGTCTCCTAAATTCTTGTTTTTAAATTTTCATGTCGATAAAGCAGGCCTTGGGCTTATCAACTGGTTAACAATTTTGTGACGTAATTACCCTCCCCCCACTCCACCCCCGGGTCATTTGTTGGACTCTTGAACCCGTGGAAGAGCAAGTCGGGAAAACTGCCAACAAAGTTAGTCTAATTGAAATTAGGAATTGTTTAATTAATTAAAATACTTTGGAATAATGGCGAGGGTTCTTGTCGGAGTCAAACGAGTCATCGATTATGCTGTGAAGGTGAGTTTTGTTCAGATGATTGTTGAGATCAGGGGTTTATCAGATTGTTGCTCCAATTGGGGGATTTATTCTGCTCTAGTTATCATGATTTTATTCCAATTATTCTTCATTGGTTGAATTCGAGAATTTTTCGTCGGGTTTTTAGGGGAATTATGAATGGAACTGTTGTTCTGGAGTTGGCTCAACAACTGGAGCTGATTTTTATTTCAAGACATCGATTTTTTTTGTTTTGTTGACAAATCAAATCAATTTATAAATTATAAAGTTATGATAACAGTTTAATTGACGATTATCTCGAGAATGAGTCGTTTTACACGAAAATAGCAGAAGAGATTTTTTGTAGGAAATTAAATTCTCTTCAAAAAATCTATTTTGACTTTTTCTGCTAGACCCACTCATTACCGAGATAATCCTCTAATTAACCGAATGGTTCACTATTTATTTTTTTCCGAAGTCTATTAATTATGCAATTACCTTCGTGCTGATTAATTTTTCGGGTAAATGAGTCAAAAATCTTTTCTAGGTCATGAAATTGTCAATTAAAAACATCTAAACATATTTCTTCAAACTCATTACCAAACTAATTAAAAAAGAATGCAAAATAACTGAAATAATCATCATAAATTAATTTAAAAATTGACGATTTAATACGGAATTAATTCGCTGAAATTAATTCATCAGATCCGCGTAAAGCCAGACAAAACCGGTGTCTTAACAGAAGGAGTCAAGCACTCTATGAATCCCTTCGACGAGATTGCGATCGAAGAAGCAGTGAGAATGAAAGAGAAAAAATTAGCTGAAGAGGTGATCGCAGTGTCTTGCGGTCCTGCCCAGGCCCAGGAGATCCTCAGGACCGCCCTGGCCATGGGAGCGGACAAAGCGATCCACGTGGAGGTCTCCGGGCCCGAGTACGAGACCCTCCAGCCCATTCACGTCTCCAAAATCCTGGCCAAACTTGCCCAGGAGGAGAAAGCCGATCTTATCCTCGTGGGGAAGCAAGCTATCGACGACGACTGCAATCAGACTGCCCAGATGACTGCTGGGGTCCTTGATTGGCCCTCCGGAACATTCTGCAGCAAAGTAATCCATCAATTTCTTCTTCAATTAATTATTTATTGATCGAAAATTGAGGAATTGAAAGAATACAATTTTTAGGTGAAACATAGAATTTGTTTTTTGCGGATATCTCTGAAACCAGTGGGTTTAGAGGAAAATGTTATAGAACATTTTTTGTAGAGGGTTGAATTTTCTACAAAAAATGTTCCTAGACGTTTTGCCCTAAACCTACTCCTTCCCGAGATATTTCCACTCGAAACGTAAAAGTGAAATGAGTACTTCAGGAAGAAAAAGGAAAAATGAGGATTTTTTGATCATCAATAACTCAAGATCCGCAGAGTGAAATTCAGTAACTTTTGTTTTGTTTTGAAGGTCTTCTTTCAGGCTTCAAAATGAGCCCCAATTCATCCTACTCGCATCATCTGTTCGGGAGATATTGATGATTTAAGAAGTCCATTTGATTTCACAACTTTCAATTCTCCAGAAACTGAAGAATTTTCTTTATTTTAGATTGAACATGGATCTGGTGAGCTAACCATCACCAGGGAGATCGACGGGGGTCTGGAGACCCTCAAGATAAAAACCCCAGCGGTCCTGAGTGCTGATTTACGTCTGAATGAGCCTCGCTACGCCACATTACCGAACATAATGAAAGCGAAGAAGAAACCGATCAAGAAGATAACTCCGAAGGATCTGGGAGTCGACACTAGCCCCAGAGTGGAAATTCTGTCAGTGGAGGATCCTCCGGTGAGGGAAGCTGGCACTATCCTCCCAGATGTCGACTCCCTCGTGGCTAAACTCAAGGAGAAGGGCTTTGCTTGAAGGGAAATAACTCTGGAAGAATGATCACTTCATGTGACGTGTGCCAAATCCCCTGCGTCACATCGAACAACTAAATTCAATCATGAGAAATAAAACTTGATAATTGATGATTAATCTGATTGTAAATAACATTATATTTTTATAAAACATTTTTATGTTTAAATAAAAGTTCACATTGGCGAATGAGTAAATTTACCACAGTTCGTAGACATTATTTCCCAGGAACTGATGATTAATCTAATTATAAATAACATTATATTTTTATAAAACATTTTTATGTTTAAATAAAAGTTTACATTAGTGAATAACTATATTTACGAACTCTACGAGAGTTCGTAGACATTATTTCCCACGAACTATTGGATTTAGAGGAAAAATTCAGAGAAAATTTCTCGGGGAAAAGAAAGTCTTTATTTTGAAGCCTATTTTCAAGTTCATTAATAGAAGAAATAAAAAGAAACTTTATTTAAAGTTGATTTTTTGTTAATTTATCCATATTTTTGTTTTTAGTCAGTTGATATGAACTTTCCCTTGTAGATGAATCTAGACTGAACTCAATTATTAAATTTATTTCCTAATTATGAACATTTAAAAAACATCAGAAGTGTCGATTTTGCCCCACCCGCCCCTCTATAAATATTTGAACTGCACTTGACGCGTTTGACATGCGCACAGGCATTCCCAGTGAAGATATCAACAATGAGAATGGCATCCCGCGTGTTGTCACGTTGTTTTACCCATCTGGAGCGTCGAGCAGCAACAATAAACGTCCGAGCAATTCACGGAATAGCCCTTGAACACAACAAAAAAAATTTCCAAAATGAAATTAAAAAATTATTTGATACATCGAGAAGTTTTCTCGAGGTTGATTATAACCTAGACTGCTCCTCAAGAAGATGGAAACACGGGAAAAGCGGTAAAAAGGTATTATGCAATTAACAAATTCACTAATTGAAGGAAGAAAAATGGTCAGCGACGAAAAAACGAATGAAAATCTATTTTTCTTCTTTCATAATTTTTCATTCAATTTTTTCTTTCGAAAAAAAAATTAGGGGCGAATTGAGGCCGAAGACGATGACGAAGATGAAGAGGATGAAGAAATGCGAATGTTAGCTCAAGGTAAAAATAATAAAATAATTACCCCTAGCACAGCTTCAATGAGGATCGATGCAGTCGTCAAAGCTGCTCTTGGAATCGCTCGGAAGTACGTTATTATGTCGTTATCTCATTAATAAGTGGTCTCACGAGACAATTAATTGATATAATCAATTTATATAGGACTCATTAATTCTTCGACTCTATTTTATTGACGATTTTGCTTTCAGCAAAGCAGATGTAGCTCTTTACGAGAGTAAAATTCGTATAAATAGTGAAAAAGTCCTTAAGAAAGGATATCAAGTGAGTGAACGAGTCTAATTAAATTTTTTCATCATAATTTATGCATTTAGTTAATTAGTTGAATGAATTCGCTCTCATTCATTCAGTCATTTGCTTATTTATTTATTTATTGTTTAGAGACCCAACAGCATAGAGCCAATTATAGGGTGAAATTAAGTGCTTTCATTTTTTTTAGTAAATTTAAAAGTTTAATTACACGTTTGATTAAAAATCAAGAGTCTAAAATTCATTCAGTAGATTTTGAGATATTTGTCTTCAATAAAACAATAGTTTATTCAATTCAACAAGTTTTCAGAGAACAAATTTTAGTAGATATTAAACTTTGTTTTTTCCTCGTTTATAAAAAAAACATCTGGATGATTTAAAGATAATTGTTCCATTTCCCAGGTGAATATCAACGACGTCATAGACTTCATCGTCGGCCCCAGCCCCCAGAACCCAAAATTCACAATAGTGCATCGAATCACAATTCTCGACGCCAAGCCCAACGTCGACACGATAAAGCTGAAGGTCCTCAGAGAGAAGAATCTCGTAATCGACGACTACGCAGACTCCTACAAAGTCGAATCAGTCGAGTGATGTAAAAGTAGAAAAGTTTTTATTTCTCTGTAAATATCTGTACAAAATCCAAGAAGCTCGGCTTCCCTCAATTACAATTGATTAATTACTAACTTGAAGATCCAGTTAATTTTTATTTTACATTCTTAAAAAATTCCAAATACAAATTTAATTACGAATCCTTCAATTGCGAAAACGTCAGAGGACTTTCGGAGAGAATTTTGTGACTTGAAAAAATGTTTCTTCAAAAATTCTCCCCAAAAACCTCAATTTAGTAGCGAAATGGTGAGACGTTATAACTCAATTTTGACTATTGACCAGTTTTCAATAAATATCTCGGAATCCAAGTGAGACAGCGAAATTTTTGTAATAACCTTTTCTGTAGAGCCGATTGAGAGCTACAAAAAACGTAATTACAAAAATTTCGCTATCTCCCTTACACTCCGAAAAATTCCTCAAAAACTGGGTCGACCCCTTCGCTACTGAATGAAATTATCTTCCCAAACCCCTTAAATTCTGGACTTGAGCCCCCCATTGGAACCCCCAGCCTTCGCCCTCTCCAGCATCATCACAGACTGTCCGACGCCGAGCACGCCCTTGCCCGCGAGTTCCCTGAGCCCTTGAATCGCCCTGTGGACCTCCCCCTCCTTCAGAATCCCCTCCACCACGCTGGCCCTCTCGCCCTCCCCCAGGAACTGCAGCAGTGCCCCAGCGAAGTGCACCTGCCCAGCCCTGAGGCACCCCCCAACAACCTCCCCGAGCTCAAGTTTGTCGACCACCGGACAGGCGTGGAGCATCCTCAGAGCCTCGACGGACTCCTCCAGGCCCTCGCCACTCCCCAGCCTGGCGAACCCATCAGAGACGACCAGCTGCCAGGCGGAGATGTACCCGGGGTAATTGACGAGTCGATCGACCCCTGCCAGCATCATCAGACTCCTCTTCAGCTCCCTCACGAGGCCCATCCTCACCATTCTCCCCAGGGCCACGTCCAGCAGGTCGAACTCCTCGAGGCCAAAGTCCAGGAAGATCTGGGGGATCAGCCCCAGCGCCCTGGCCACCCCGAACTGGCTGTTCACCAGGACCTGCACGAGCTTCTGCTTGGAGCAGCTCTCGAACCCGCTGACGCTGTAGCCAATCCCCAGCCTCTGGAGCTCCGTCAGGTACTGGAGACTCCTCATGTGCTGGTGGAACTGTTCAGCGTTGATTTTTGTGTAGCTCTGGAGTGTGGCTTCGTCGGTCAGGGCCTGGATCACCCGCAGGGCCCTGAACCTCACCCCGGCGATGTAGTTCTCTCTCTCGTCGAAGGATATGTGCACCAGGTAGTGGATGAACTCGGATTTCCCGGAGACGACGTAGCACGCCCGCAGGAGGTTGTCGTCCGTCCTGAAGGGGTCAGGGTCGGTCGGGGGTGGCTCCTCTCTGAAGACTGCGGTGATGCTGTCGTTCCGGGAGTCCGAGGGCTCCGGCTGCAGCCACTCCTTCAGCAGCTCCCCTCGGATCTTGTGGAGGTTCACGGGGAGGACTTCCCCGAGCGCGTCGACGGTCGAGTTTATGTCCGGTCGGTGTCTTGTGGCACTTCGGTAACGCTGGGGGATCGACTCGTCTTTGTAGAGCGAGATTATTAGCTCTTCGTGACGATCCACCAGGTGCAAGTACCTGGGGAGAGATTCGGGGAGTGAAAAGTCAATTTGAGGGGGGATTATTTTGAATGAGATTATTTTTTATTCTAGGAAGTGGGGTGGAATTCACAAGAATTTCCCGGAAATTTAGGATCCTAGGAACAATAGAAATCTCATGAAATTTCCAATGAATTCTTTTAAAATCCCATGAAATGCAATTAAATTCTATAAAATTCTTTGAAATTCCTCGAAATTAAAAAAAAAACATTTAGAAATTCCCTGAAATCCTATAAACAATAGAATTAAATCTCATGAAATATTCAATGAATTCTTTTAAAATCCCATGAAATGCAATTAAATTCTATAAAATTCTTTGAAATTCCTGGGGATTCCTTAAAGTTTCATAAAATTCCGCGAAATTAAAAAAAAACATTTAGAAATTTGCTGATATCCTATAAACAATAGAATTAAATCCCACGAAATTTCCAATGAATTCTTTTAAAATCCCATGAAATGCAATTAAATTCTATAAAATTCTTTGAAATTCCTGGGGATTCCTTAAAGTTTCATAAAATTCCGCGAAATTAAAAAAAAACATTTAGAAATTTGCTGATATCCTATAAACAATAGAATTAAATCCCACGAAATTTCCAATGAATTCTTTTAAAATCCCATGAAATGCAATTAAATTCTATAAAATTCTTTAAAATTCCTGGGGATTCCTTAAAGTTTCACAAAATTCCTCGAAATAAAAAAAAACATTTAGAAATTCCCTGAAATCCTATAAACAATAGAATTAAATCCCATGAAATATCCAATGAATTCTTTTAAAATCCCATTAAATGCAATTAAATTCTATAAAATTCTTTGAAATTCCTCGAAATTAAAAAAAAACATTTAGAAATTCCCTGAAATCCTATAAACAATAGAATTAAATCCCATGAAATATCCAATGAATTCTTTTAAAATCCCATTAAATGCAATTAAATTCTATAAAATTCTTTGAAATTCCTCGAAATTAAAAAAAAACATTTAGAAATTCCCTGAAATCCTATAAACAATAGAATTAAATCCCATGAAATATCCAATGAATTCTTTTAAAATCCCATTAAATGCAATTAAATTCTATAAAATTCTTTGAAATTCCTCGAAATTAAAAAAAAACATTTAGAAATTCCCTGAAATCCTATAAACAATAGAATTAAATCCCATGAAATATCCAATGAATTCTTTTAAAATCCCATTAAATGCAATTAAATTCTATAAAATTCTTTGAAATTCCTCGAAATTAAAAAAAAACATTTAGAAATTCCCTGAAATCCTATAAACAATAGAATTAAATCCCATGAAATATCCAATGAATTCTTTTAAAATCCCATTAAATGCAATTAAATTCTATAAAATTCTTTGAAATTCCTCGAAATTAAAAAAAAACATTTAGAAATTCCCTGAAATCCTATAAACAATAGAATTAAATCCCATGAAATATCCAATGAATTCTTTTAAAATCCAATTAAATGCAATTAAATTCTATAAAATTCTTTGGAATTCCTGGGGGTTCCTAAAAATTTCACGAAATTCCTCGAAATTCAAAAAAACATTTAGAAATTTCCTGAAATCCAATAAGCAAAGAATTAAATCCCACGAAATATCCACTGAATTCTTTAAAAATCCCCTGAATTGCAATTAAAAATGAAAACGAATTCTCTAAAATTCTTTGAAATCCTGCCAATTCCTAAAAATTGCCGAAAATCCCTCGAGATTAAAAAAAACATTGAAAATCAATCAAATGAATACCGAACCCCCCAAATCAACGACCTTAAAAAAACAATGGCAAAAAAAATTACCTCGGCACCCCCACTCCATGAGAATGAAGAATGTGCTTGGCGGTATTGATGACATACTTCTCCTTGATCCTCGGGAATTTATTCGCGGGATCGGCCTCATCCCCGCACCTCTCCTTCCACTGTTCCATGTACAAAAAGCACTCCTTGGCGGCTGCCACGAGGTCCGCCCCAGGCGGCGTATGATTAACGACGTAGTACAACGACGCGGTGCCATACTTGAGCCTGTCGACGCCCTTCATGCACTCCAGGCACTTCTTGATGTCCCTCAAGAGGCTCGAGTTCCTCGAGTTGATGGACCACGTGCTGCAGAGTCCCCTGGAGGCCTCCCAGGCGTCATTAGTCGAGTTCCTGACAGCCAGAGTACAAATATTCGGAATGGAAATGCTCAGGACGGGGGCGATGCTCAGCCACTTCTCGTACGTCTTGAGGTTGAGCTCAGGCATGATGACCTTGAAGTCGACCCTGGGAAAAAACGGAAGTCTCCACTTGGCGATGGGGGGCAGCTGGGGCTCCTGACACCAGTTCAACCAGGCGTCGGTCTCCACCTCCGTGGGCTTTCCAATCCTCGTGTAATTCTGGAGAAAGCACAGATGACTGATCCAGTCGATCTTATCGTTCATCTCAGCAATCTCCAGGGCTATCAGGAACACCTCGTAGTGGTAAATATTGAAGGACGGAGTTGTCAGGGCCTCCACCAGGTACCTCTTCATGGCGTTCTTGTCTTCGATCTCAGCAGACACCCTCTTGCACTCGACGATCAGCTCCTTCACCTGATTCTCGTCGATCTTCACGTGCCTGGGGCCCTCCTGGGAGTTCACCCTGAACTCCGGCTCCCAGGTGGTGAGGAGAATCTCCAGGTAACTGAGGCAGCAGTCGGTGAAGATGAAACCGAAGTTGGAGCAGAAGTCCCTGAGGAGATTCAGGGTTTCAGGCCTCTTCGACGTCATGATCCTCTTCAGGATGTTCCTCTTGTCCTCGTTGCTGCTCGTCAGGACCTCGCGGTAGGGCACCCCACAGTGGGCCAACCTCTTCGCCCAGTGGTGGAGCAGCCTCGAGGACTTCAGGGTCTCCATCTGGAGGTAGTTCTGCGTCAGCCTGAAGTACTCGTAGCTCAGCTCTTTTATCACTCGATCCCTGCGCTGGTCGGACTCGTACAGCTGTCCGCAGTGCTCCAGCAGCTTCAGGGAGTCCGTCTGGGTCAGGCTGAAGAGGCAGGAGAGCCCCAGCTGGAGGTCGAAGACCATCGAGTCTATCACCTTCTTCAGCATCACTGAGTTGCAGGCGTTCAGGGCCGATCTCATTTCAGAGGATATTTCTTCGTGCTTTGGTGACAGAGAGAATATTTTCAGACAGGCTGACGTCAGGATCTTCAGCACTGCGAAGTCGTGGTGCTCGTTCATGAGCCCTCGAGTCCTCAGGGGAAGACTCCTCCTCAGAAGGACCATCTCCTCGTCTGAATGAGTGTCACTGCGACCGTTTTCCAGGTAAAACGTCAGGGTGAAGAGGTCGTTGAGGTAGGGGACGAGGGCCTCACCGCAGGATATCGAGGCGTCTTTGTAGATCGGGTACAGGGGCGACTCCTGGAGCTCCAGGGTGTGGCCCACCGCTTCGTTGTAGGCGTCGATCTTCATCGAGGACTCGAGGGCTTGAGGTAGAGCCTCCGTTGGGGAACTCACGATGATCCTGGAGACTAGATTCTTCATTGCTCTCGCCAGGGTGGGGTCGTTCTGCCCCTCCAGGATCAGCTGGGAGATCATCCTCAGGGAGAAGTGGCACTCCTCAGGCGTGAGGACCTCCCAGGTGCTCAGGCGATCGATCACGAACTCCTGGAGGACCTTCGCGTCCTTCGTCGCCTCGAAGTACTCGTAGATTCCTGATAATTTCGGGAGGTTCAGCAGATTTGACACTCGCTCCAGGTCCTTCAGGATTTTCTCGCCCCCCAGGGCCTCAGTCTCGATCAACTTCGATATGAACTCCAGCAAAATTTGTTTTTTATTCTCGAAGTAATCACGAATGTTGATCGAGATGTTGAACTCTGTCTTCAGGAAGTAGATGGACCGCAGGTGGGGGATCATCTCCAGGGTGTCGTCGTCCTTTCTCGATAATCGTCGAGAGATTGACCCCAGGATCTCGACGTAGTACCCCAGGCCGTCGTCCCTGAAGTCCCTGAAGTTGTTGAGCCTCCCCTGAAGATCATTGACGATTTGTTTGCAGCAGAAATCCACGACCTCTTCCTCCAGCCCCTCCAGGATCTTCGTGACCTTGTCGAGGTCTCCAGTCCTCAGGTGATGGCTGACACACGCCCCCAGGACCCTCTTCTGCTTGATCTTCTGCTCGTTCTTCGTCAGCTCCAGGAGGTCACTGATCATGCTCTCTCGATCCTCCTTGATGATCCTCTGATGGAGGTTGGGGGACAGCCCCACGTGGGCGAACCCATACTTCTTCATGATTAGTTTAACAGCAACAGAACTGGACTCTATCCTGATCTGCCCCACGAGGGGGTGATCGCACCTGCAGCTCTCCTCAGCGAGGGAAGCGACTGCTGGGGACCAGGGGACAGGCGCCTTCTTGAGGACTTCGAGGGTCTGCTGGAGCCTGTTCTGAATGTTATGGATGTGTCCAATGATGACGGACAGTCGCTTGTCCCAGGGGGCCTTCTCCCACATCCACCAGCCCTTGGACATCTTCAGGGTCTTGGTGACGTACGACGACAGCACCTGATCGTTCTTCAACGAGTGATTCAGCATGTATTGCTGGAGGAAGTTGTTCATCAGGGAGGGGATCTCCTCGATGTGAATTTTGTTCAGAAGAAGGTGGATGACCTCCGCCGGGTCCCCCAGGTACACACCCAAGGGGATGACGATCTTGTACTTGGTCTTGAGGTCCAGCAAATCAGACATCGCCTGGATGAGCAGCTGGAGCTTCTGGAGATGCGAGTTTTTAGTGGCGTATTGCTGGTGAAATTGAAAGCAGATGTTGTACTCCTCGAACTGGAGCATCGAGACGAGTCCATTGGCGAAGTCCAGGCCGATGCTGGGCCAGGACTCTCGATGGTAAATCTCCAGGGATCTGGTTTTCTTGAGGGACCACTGGAGAATGGCTGGGAGACTTGTGGGGATCAGAGCTGTGGCTGAGGGAACGAAGTGGCGGAGCCAGGGCCAGAGGCTGGAGGGCTCCAGGGCCTCTGGGATCGACTCCAGGAGGCCACTGATGCTCCTGGTGGTCATCTGCGGGGAGATTGAGGGGGTGTGCCTGATCCAGATGAGGGCTGCTGCGTCCAACTCCCCCAGGGAGAGGTGCCTCGTGCATTCCTCCAGAAGGTTTGACCTCGAGAATCTGTTCCACTCCTCAATGCTCTCTTCTGGGTGCCCTTCCGGGGATTCTCCAGCGTGAATTATCTCGAAGGTCTCCAGCTTCCTCAACGTCTCACTCACGTGACTCAGGAGTTTGGAGAGGCCCTCCTGCCCCTGGTGGCTCTTCCCCTCGGAGGACCCCATGAACTCCACGATTCTCCTCCTCGCGTAGACGATTAATCTTCTAGTCTCTCTGTAATCCCTCGTCAGGGCGTTCTTGCAGCACTCGTACACGAACTCGACGTCTTTGATCTTATCCAAGGTCTCCAGGAAGACCTCGACGTCGACGAACTCCTCCGCGTGGACAGAAGGCTGGAGCCTCTCCATCAGCATCCTGGCTTCTGCGTGGAACACCATCTCCTCGTTCAATCCAAACTTCTTTGCAAAGTCCCTGGCTTCTGAGAATTTCTGTCTTCTCAGAAGCCTCTGGAGTCGGAAGTCGGGGGAACTCTCCTCGATCGCTTTGATCCTGATGGTGTCGATGACCCCTTGGGGGTTCCTCACCCCCTCCAGGAAGATCAGGTGGTCCACGATGTGGTTCAGGTCCACCAGGTAACAGTCCTTTGGGACGATCATCGAGAACTTCATCTGGAATTTTTTGCCAATTTCAAAAATTAATCCATTTTCATTAAATTATCGATTAATTGAATTGACTTGTTATGCAATTAATTGAACTGTTATTAATTCAATGAATTAATCATTAAAACGATTTTTGATCATTTTTTTACGCTCAACTATTTCAATTAAATGAGTAAGCATTAATTTAATTATTAATTCATTTACTATTAATTAAGTGATTATTAATTATTAATCATTAATAATAATAATGATTAATAATTAATGTAATGTAATGAATTAATAATTACATAAATAATGAACAATTAAATTAAGCCTCAATTAAATTCTTAATCCGTTCAATTTATAATTAAAGTTTAGTGCTATAATTAAAGTTTAATGCACTAATATTTAATCATTAAAACGATTTTAAATAATTTTTTTACGCTCAACTATTTCAATTAAATGAGTAAGCATTAATTTAATTATTAATTCATTTACTATTAATTAAGTGATTATTAATTCTTAATCATTAATAATAATAATGATTAATAATTAATGTAATGAATTAATAATTACATAAATAATGAACAATTAAATTAAGCATCAATTAAATTCTTAATCCGTTCAATTTATAATTAAAGTTTAGTGCTATAATTAAAGTTTAATGCTTACCAATTTAATGAAAATTAAATTTAAAGAAAGAAAATAAAATCATGAGTTTACTGTGTATCGATGGACGAGAAAAGTGATAAATCACCTGAAAGTCAGGGAAGCTCATCAGGTGAAGGGACGTGGTGTCTTCTGAGGGTTTTGGCTTCATCAGGACGAGCATGTGATAGTCATCGGTGGTCTCAGGGATTGTTACAAAGTCCTCGACAGGTCCAGAGTGAATTTTCATGGAGAGAAGGGTCTGCCTGCAGACGAGGGAGAGGGATCCGTCCGTTGTGAGGCAGATGATCCCCGAATAGTTGTCGAAGTGCTGGGATTTTTTGTAGCGATAGGGGATGGATTTCAGGGGACAGGAGACGTTCCTGGGGTGGACGAAGACCTCCTCCCCCAGGGTGACGATGGATTTTGAGGGGCGAGGGCTGGGAATGTCCGAGGCTGACGAAATTGGGGAGATGGTGGACACAATGGAGATGTTGGAGATCTGGGAGTCGATGGAGGATTCGTCCCAGGGATTTATCGACGGGAGTCTCAGGATTTTTCCAGCTGAGGTGACAATCGTCAGGGATATCGTGTCGTCTGCTTCTTCCAGGGACAGGTGGATCACGTTGCCGCAGTTGTATCTCTCAAGGTCGATGCAGAAGAGCTGCTGGGAGCCCCGGGAGAGGTTGAAGCAGTGGACGAGGCCTGTGTCGATGGCTGCGATGAGGAGGTCCGTGGAGGAGAGGCAGTACGAGGTCACTGGGGAGTCGAAACCGATGCTCGTGAGGATCTCCTTGCAGGACTCGTCCCCGAAAATTGTGAGGGAGTTGTCGACGGATATGCAGAGGAACGCGTGGTGGAAGGAGGCGTGAACTTTCGGGGGGAGAACCTGGGGAATTCAATGGGATTCGTCTCAATTTTAACCATTTTCAAGATATTTAGGATTTTTAAACAGTTTAAAAATTGTTTAAAATATTTTTCAACGTCCCTTAATATTCTTCAACAATTTAAAACATTTCAAAACGTTTTAGAATATTGTGAGACGTTTTAAATGATTTTAAAACGTCTTGAAACATTTTCAAATATTTCAAGACATATTTAATTAATTTAAAACATTCCAAAATTGTTTAAAATTCTTCAACATTGTTTAACATGTTTCAGTAGCTTTAATATTCGTTAATATTATCGCCTAGACCCTCTCCTCCCTGACATATCTTCAAAAAAACTAAAAAACAACTTTCACAACAAAAGGAAAAATAAACCACTTTCAATCATTAATTACTCAGCATTGGCAGAGTGAATCCGAGCGATTTTTTTTCATTTTACAGGTATTTTTCTAATCTTCAAAATGAACCATAATTGACCTGAATCGTATCATTAAATCAGCAGTTATTGACGGATTTATGTTGACCATTTGACCTCGCCTGCCCCTAAAAATTCTTTTTCTCTTAATATCTCAAGAAAATATTTTACCTGAGGGTTCTGGTGATCTCGAGGCTCTCGTTGGAGTTCCTCGGGGTCGTCACACTGGATCGTCGCCCGCGTCCAGGTCTCGTAGATGGCTCCATCCTGCTCCGCAACAGTGCGAGCCCCAAAATTCACGGTTTCGTCCTCAGCATCGAACCCTGAGATCACCTTCGTCCAATGCACCATTTTATTCAGCACTTCAAACCACTTTTCACTGATCACTGATTATTCACGACTCCAGGGCATCTTCCGACGATTTCAAACCGATTTTAGGGGCGAACTCCGGAGGATTTGAAGGAGAGAAAAGCCGGACGTTGCTCCAGGTACGTTAGGACTTTCAAACTGTCGCAAACAATGAAGTGGAGCCATCTACGAGGCCTGGACACTTCGGAGGGAACTCCAAGAGACCCCTCAGACTCACAAAAACCCTCGGGTGAAATATTTTCCTGAGGAAATTAAGAGGAAAAAAATTTTTTGAGGCAGGCGAGGTCAAATGGTTCACCTAAACCCGTTAAAATTGATCCAAGCGAAATAATTAATTAACTCAACACCAATTTGAACTGTTGTGTACCATTTTAATTCACTGATTTCACGTCGTGGCGCGACGACGCCCCCTCCCCCTCCGCCAATCAGGTGCCGATCTTTCCTCTGGCGGCGACGACTGACCAATCGGGTCCTTTGGTTTTCAAAAGTGGGAGGTACGAAGGTGCGTGGGGGAGGTAAAGCTATATAAGGCCGTCCAGCACGAATTTATCGTCAGTTTGCGTCAGTCTGCATGTAAATAGACATCTTATCTTAACAGCGATTGTGCTGCCAACACCGTCCTTTTGAGGTTGGAAACTGAATGTGAATATTTTCATTCATTTTTTTTCCTTTTTTTGTGTTGAAGGGTCTCAAAAGTCCATAAATAGTTGGGGGGTTAATTGAGGCTGAAGTTATGACGAATGAAGCACCTGCGATCCAGGAGTTCAAGCTCGATCCTGACTGCGAGCTGCGGTTCGAGGTTGAGAGTAAAAATGACAAGGTGACACTCGAGGTAAACAACAACATCTTTTTACTATTTCATGAAAAACAAATCTTCAAACTGAATTTCTGCATTTGCAGTTTATTCCTCAGTTGATGTTTCTTCAATTATCAATATCTCTCGATTGAGTGAAGCCATTTTAGTGAATTAGCTCTCATTTTGAAGCCTGAAAAAATATCTTTGAAACGAAGAAAAAATAATGTTATTTTACTCTGCCAATTTTGAGTTATTGATGATTGAAAACTGCTCATTTCACCCTTTTCTTACTCGAGGGCAAATTTGATTCTACGTTTTAAGTAAAAATATCTCTGGGAGCAGTAGAGTGAGAGAAAAACGTACAAGAACATTTTTTGTAGAGAATTTAATCCGCCACAAAAAATATATTGTGAAATTTTTCCCTAAACCCACTAGTTCCTGAGATACCCTCAAAAAACAAATCCTGTTTTCCCTCGAAGAGGTGTAAAACCCACGATTATACATAATCGTTACGCCCCTTTGGCCCTACGATGACAATACCTTCGACCTAAAACAAACGAAATGAATAATANTTTTTGAGGCAGGCGAGGTCAAATGGTTCACCTAAACCCGTTAAAATTGATCCAAGCGAAATAATTAATTAACTCAACACCAATTTGAACTGTTGTGTACCATTTTAATTCACTGATTTCACGTCGTGGCGCGACGACGCCCCCTCCCCCTCCGCCAATCAGGTGCCGATCTTTCCTCTGGCGGCGACGACTGACCAATCGGGTCCTTTGGTTTTCAAAAGTGGGAGGTACGAAGGTGCGTGGGGGAGGTAAAGCTATATAAGGCCGTCCAGCACGAATTTATCGTCAGTTTGCGTCAGTCTGCATGTAAATAGACATCTTATCTTAACAGCGATTGTGCTGCCAACACCGTCCTTTTGAGGTTGGAAACTGAATGTGAATATTTTCATTCATTTTTTTTCCTTTTTTTGTGTTGAAGGGTCTCAAAAGTCCATAAATAGTTGGGGGGTTAATTGAGGCTGAAGTTATGACGAATGAAGCACCTGCGATCCAGGAGTTCAAGCTCGATCCTGACTGCGAGCTGCGGTTCGAGGTTGAGAGTAAAAATGACAAGGTGACACTCGAGGTAAACAACAACATCTTTTTACTATTTCATGAAAAACAAATCTTCAAACTGAATTTCTGCATTTGCAGTTTATTCCTCAGTTGATGTTTCTTCAATTATCAATATCTCTCGATTGAGTGAAGCCATTTTAGTGAATTAGCTCTCATTTTGAAGCCTGAAAAAATATCTTTGAAACGAAGAAAAAATAATGTTATTTTACTCTGCCAATTTTGAGTTATTGATGATTGAAAACTGCTCATTTCACCCTTTTCTTACTCGAGGGCAAATTTGATTCTACGTTTTAAGTAAAAATATCTCTGGGAGCAGTAGAGTGAGAGAAAAACGTACAAGAACATTTTTTGTAGAGAATTTAATCCGCCACAAAAAATATATTGTGAAATTTTTCCCTAAACCCACTAGTTCCTGAGATACCCTCAAAAAACAAATCCTGTTTTCCCTCGAAGAGGTGTAAAACCCACGATTATACATAATCGTTACGCCCCTTTGGCCCTACGATGACAATACCTTCGACCTAAAACAAACGAAATGAATAATATAGGGGAGGTTGGGGTAAAACGGACACTTGACTTTTTTTAAAATGTTAATGAGGGTTTGACATGTTGATAAAATTTAATAATTTTTTTTCAACACAAAGAACAATTCGTTCCCTTTGTGACGAGCCTAAACTATCTCAATGGCCCCATTTGTTTCTGAGTTACGAATAATTTAAAAAAAGTAAAGCGTCCATTTTACCCCACCCTCCCCTACTCAAAGAATCCCCTTTTCCCCCCAAATTCAGCTGAAGCTGGGGCTCGCCGAGGTGTTCGGTACCGAGCTCGTGAAAAACAAGAAATACGACTTCGGTTTCGGCGCAAAAGTGGCAGTGTTCACCTGGCAGGGCTGCACCCTGGAGATATCAGGAAAAACCGACGTGAGTTACATCGCCAAAGAGACCCCGATGGGCATCTACCTGAACTGCCACGCAGCGATGGAGCGGATGCGAGACGTCGCCGAGAAGAAGGACTCCAGAGGTCCCATCACGATGATCGTGGGCCCCTCGGACGTTGGGAAGTCCACGCTCTCCAGGATTTTACTGAACTACGCAGTGAGGATGGGGAGACGACCGATCTTCGTGGACCTGGACGTGGGCCAGGGCCACATAGCTGTGCCTGGAACCCTGGGGGCTCTCCTCGTCGAGAGGCCCTCGAACGTCGTCGAGGGATTCTCCCAGCAGGCGCCCCTGGTCTTCCACTTTGGCCACAAAACCCCAAGCGTGAACATTGCCCTTTACAATCTCCTCGTCACGAGATTAGCTGAGGTCTGCTCGGACAGACTGCAGGCGAATAAAAAGGCCAAAGTCTCTGGGATCGTCATCAACACCTGCGGCTGGGTCAAGGGGGGAGGCTACAAGCTGCTGACCCACGCTGCCCAGGCCTTCGAGGTCGACGCCATTCTGGTGCTAGACCAGGAGAGACTGTACAATGAACTCGTCAGGGGAATGCCTGAATTCGTTAAAGTCGTCTTTCTGCCGAAGAGTGGGGGCGTCGTCGAGAGGACCCAGACGATGAGGAGTGAGTCCAGGGACCAGAGGGTCAGGGAGTACTTCTATGGCTCCAAGACCCCGCTGTATCCTCACAGTTTCGAGGTCAAGTGGAGTGAAGCCAGGATTTACAAGATTGGGGCGCCTGTTCTGCCTGCATCCTGCATGCCACTGGGCATGAAGGCTGAGGATAACCTCACGAAACTTGTGGCGGTTACTCCAGGGCCTAGCTTGCTGCATCATCTGCTGTCGGTTTCTTTTGCCGACTCCCCGGAGGACGACGTCGTCCAGACGAATGTCGCTGGATTTGTCTGTGTGTAAGTATGAGGCTTAATCAGGGGATTTTTATTAATTGGGTATTTCAGTAGCGAAAGGGTAAAACCGTACGAGTTAATTGTTAATATTATATACTTATTATATTGGTTTTCAATGAATATCTCGGAATATGAGGGAGATAGCTAAATTTTCGTTATAACCTTTTTTGTAGAGCCGATTGAGAGCTACAACAAATGTAATCACGAAAATTTCGCTATCTCCCTTAGATTTATAAATATTCCTCAAAAACTCAACGGGGATGTAAATCGACTTAATGGTTTTACCACTTCGCTGCTGAATTTTATTAATTCTTGATTAATTGATAATTATTTTGTAATTTTTTGCAGGACAAATGTTGATGTCGACAGGCAAACCATCACCGTCCTCAGCCCACAGCCTCGACCACTGCCGAACACAGTCCTTCTGCTGTCGGATATTCAATTCATGGATAGCCATTGAGGGACTTAATTGTACATATGAATTAATGAATTGTAGATTGTATATGAGAGCCATGGAATCATGAATTTTTGTACCAGGTGAATGCGTTGTTGGCGGCTGTAATTATTGAATGCATCGAGACTTGATTGAGGTGTGGTTTTTTATTTTTTTTAAGCACAAACCTCACGGTTACACAGCTGTACATGCGAAAATAAAAATAAAAGAAGTAAAAACGAAGAAGATATATTTTGTACATTGTGTCGAATATGCAACAGTTTCACAGGCATCGGAATTACATTAGACTTGCAATTAATTATATTTCAGATTAAAAAATTGATGAGAAAATATTTATTGACATCATTCCTTATTTTTTTCAAGTGAATGGATGTACAAATATTTTAATGCCGCAATAAAAATAATTATGTATTTAAAAAAAAAAATATTTTTTATTCTGATGAACGAATACAAAGAAAATGAAATTAAAGCTAATTAATGTGAAAGTCTCCGTGTTTTTTGATTCAATTCATGTCCGGAATTTAATAATGCTATTATCTCCATTTCTTCCCATTATTTCTTCTTCAGATAGTTCGAAGCAACTTGTAACTGCACATTTATGACTCATATTTCCCTGAATTTTTATATTAACAAGAAGTGGAAACGAATGAAATGCATTAAATTCTACTCCTCGAATTGGGAATTCTCATTTCATAAACTTGCAATTAATTACCTTCCAGATAAAAAAATTGACGAGTAAATCTTTACTGACATCACTTCCATTTTTGTCAAGTCAAAATAAAGTAAAAATATTTTAATGACTCAATAAAAATAATTTATTGACATCATTCCGATGTTTTTAAAGTGAAAAGAACGTAAAAATATTTTTTTTTAAATTTTATTCTTATTCTGACGAACGAATATCAAGAAAATGAAATGAAACCTAGTTAATGTGAAAGTCTTCATGTTTTTCAATCCAAAACACCCTCCCCCCTTTCTCTGTACCTCTTTGCATCGGCTAAAACAGAAACACAATTAAATTTCCAAGATGTCGAACATGTGCAGTCAGAATTTTGAAGAAATCACCGAATTGGAGAAGAAATTGCGAGAAATATTGACTGAACTTCAGCTCAAGACGGTAAATAACAATGAAAAGAAGTCCATTAATCATCGAATTAATAATCAAATTGAGTCTGATGACTCAATTTATCCCTTAAACAATTAGCAAGTGTAATTGATCGATAGGAGACCCTTGAGAAGTCCCAGGAGCAGTTGTTCGAGGCGCAGAATCTCAACGTTCACCTGCAGATTCTCCTCGACAATGAGAAACGAAGCTCCGGGCAGATGCTGCAGGAGGTCCAGTCTGCGGTGGAGGTGATCCGGCGCCTGGAGGACGAGAAAATCAGGGGACAGACGGACAGGGCTCGGCTGGAGATCAACTGGAACACGGCGCAGGCCGAGAGGGTCTTCTTGATGGATCAGGCGAAGAGACTGAAGATGGAGAACATGGAGCTGAGGAGGAGGAATGAGGTCCTGGAGGCGAGGGTCCAGGAGGGGACGTTGAGGGAGAAGAAGGTCGAGGCGAGGGTCGAGGGCCTGAAACAGCAGGTCACCGCCATACAGGCCGTCATGAAGAGGTGGGGCAGGACGGACAATGAATTTTTTTTAATTAATTGCATTTTCAACGAAATGGAATAATTCTTACATCGGAATTATTCCAATCGTTTCCATTCATCTTCAAAAAACTACCACTTCCTCAGGTATTAACAGTCATTAATATTTTTAGAATAATTGTTTTTTGGTAGAAAATACAATTATTTCTCTTTATGACGACCCTCAGCTCAATTAATGATTTGGTCTTAATTCTGAAGACTGAAGAATATTTTTAAAAAATTGTATTTATTGTTGAGGAATGAAAGTTAACGATTTTTTTTTGTAAAACGTCATGAGCTGGGGGAAATGGACAATTGAATATTTTTTAATTCATTGCAATTTGAACGAAATGGAATAATTGTTTTTTTGGTAGAAAATACAATTATTTCTCTTCGTGACAACCCTCAGCTCAATTAATGATTTGTTCTCAATTCTGAAGATTGAAGAATATTTTAAAAAAATTGTATTTATTGTTGAGGGATGAAAATTAACGATTTTGTTCGTAAAACGTCATGAGGAACTGGGGTAAAATGGGCAATGAAATCTTTTTAACTCATTGAATTTTCAACGAAATGGAATAGTTATTTTTTTGTAGAAATCGCAATGAGGATTGAAGAACAGTAAAAAAAAATCATTTTCCGTTGAGCAATAAAAATGAATGACTTTTTTTTAGTAATTTGGACAAATTGAAGGGAGAGCAGAAGCAGTTGTTCACGTCGTTCCAAGACCTTGCGAAGATCCATTCTAGGATTGAAAACGTCAGTCGAGTTGTTTTGGTGAACACCCAGAGGGATAAGAGGGAGATTCAGGAGCTGAGGGAGAAGCTTAAGGTGATGGAGATGCTCCAATCTGTGGAGACAATCCCCGATATTCCCAATGTGAGTCTTGCGATTGATTCATCTCGATAATTGGCAATATCTCGAAAATTACTGGGTTTATCGAAAAATGTTAGAAGAACTTTTTTTAGAGCTTGAAATTTCCTACAAAAAAACTCTACTGACATTTTCCCCTAAACCCACTCATCGCTGAGATAATTCAGCAATTAGAACGGATGAGGAAGTGAAATTTACCAAGTTCATGAAGTTTTTTGGGAATGATTTTTAGATCGAAGCAGAATTGACTGAACTCTCTGAGAAATTCCGTGTAAATCCGGAGATTGACGAGAAGCTGACAGAGCTCTGCACAAAAATGTCCTCCACCTGCCTGGCCCAAGCCCAAGCCGCCAAAACCCCATAAATAAACACAAAGTGACACACAAATGAGGTAATGATCAACACAGACGTTAATAGGATTAATATAAAATGTATTATAATAGTCGTCGTTTCGCATATCTGAGTTGATGAAACAAATACCAATATTCGGGTTTAAATAACCCCAGAATCATCGAGTGAACCCGTGAACAATGAGCAAAATCAAGTGAACAAATCACTCGTTTGCAAAATGCAACGTGGTTACAAAATTAAACATTATCAAACATTATTAAACATGAAAAAATGTTATTCTTGTCTCTCGTGAGATTTTGCGAGCATCACAATCATTATTTTCAGTTTGTTTTCGTAGTGAAAAAGCTAGTTTCGGTTTTATTATGAACATAAGGAGAGAAATCCCGGCCTTAAATTATTCTCTACATGCCAAGTATCATTATTCACCTATAACTCTCGATACACGTGCTATTAAATGAAGGGAATATTAGAACTGAGTGAGGGAGTGGAAAAATATGCAAAATAATTTCATTACTTTGCGAACATCTCGGAAGCCGTTAGGTTTAGAGAGAAATGTCGCTGATAATTTTTTGTAGGAAATTTTATTCCCCATAAAAAATATCTTATGACATTTTCTCATGAAATGATTCATTGACGAGATAATTACCGAAATAGCAGAGGCATCGTTTTTTTTATTTTTCAATTAACGTTGTAATTACCCCACAATGAGTAGATTTAGCAAAAAATGTCAAAAAACCTTTTTTGGTCGAAATTTTCTCTGAAATCCACTCATCACTGAGACATTTACAGACATTTCAATCATTTTAATTTCGTTGTTATTTTAATAATCATCACCTCCGGCTAAAAATGTCAGCCAGCATTTCCCCTCGCCCTTAATATCTACGACATAGTGTGAACACTTCACCACTCCCTCCCTCAACGAATCTCCTACAACAGAGTGATGTCGATTGAATCGCAAAGGAAGAATTAATTGCGTAAAACTCATTCACTCCTCATTCCCCCCAAAAAAATGTAGTCAATCGATCGATTAAAACTGCCGCAGTCATGATTGTACTATCGAATGAGCGAATAAGTTCATCCCACCGTCATTAATTATTTTCCTTATCACCGTAATGCAAATACATAATTAACAGCTAGATTAATAAAAAGAGTACTGTGCAAGAGTGGATTTGGTCAACGGCAACCATCTTCCCCCTGTGTTCCCGTTATTAATTACCTTCATCATAATTTCTTAGAGAATAATAACTGAACCAATTGAAGTTGTTGTTTTTTTTCCTCATTTTGTTATTTTTAAAATAAATTTGTTGAAATAAAATCAAATCTCGTCGAGATGTTTTTGTTTGTTTTTCACTTGAATCGTTGAATACTAGGTATGCATCGATGAACATTCGGTTGTGATGCAATTTTTGTATCTTCGATTGTCGATGGCGACGTGTAAAAAAATCTTTTACGATTGTAAAGGGCAGACAGTGCAGACTTTATGGTGATGGGTCAAAGTATAGTACATCTTGCTAGCCAATTTGGTGGCTTTCTCGCTGGTTCAGATGCTTTAAGTTGATTTCCACCTGTTTTTGGTGGATTTGATGCCTCCTAGAGAACAACAACGAGCTCATTAATTTATTTATTTAACGATTCAGATTTTTTTAAAGAGAAAACTAAATTAAAATTGGCAAAAATGGGAAATTATTGTGAAAAATGGAATTATGAAAGATTGTTAATGAGTTTCTGCAGGAAGCGAAAACCCCAGAATGACAATAATTAATCAATTAAATAATTAATTGACTAATTTAGTCATTAATTTTTGATTAATTGATTCTTCAAAGTGGAAAACTGGAATAAATAAATCGAAATAAAAGTAAAATAATCATGTAAAAAAATAAAAGAATGAAAAAAGAAAATGAAGATGAAATGGACAGAAAATTAGAATAACGAAAAATTTTGTCAGTAAAGATTGTCAATGAGCAAAAGCAGAAAAAATCATTCACGAAAGCATATCAGTACTGAACGAACTAAATTTTAAAAAAAGAATTCTCATTTTCGATTAATTAATTAGACCAGAAATTCGTCATGCAAATCAACAAAACCAATTAGCGAGTACAATTTTACCTTCTTCCGATACAGAACCCGCACCACAAAGAGATAAAGACATGAGGGACAAAGAAACAAATAAGATCACATTAGTAATTACGATTAACAAGAACAGTTGGACTGAGTCGTGAAAGGAGAAGAATCAAACGAGTCATTTCGCAAAAAAACATGTCGAGAGATTATATTTCCATAGAATAATTAATTCCCACGCTAATTGGAACGATTAAGTGATCACATTTTCGTAATTATCTCAAAAACGAGTGATTTTGCCAAAAAATGTCATAAAATATTTTTTCTAGGGGATGAAATTTCCCACAAAAAATGTTTCAACACATTTTTCTCTAAACCTCTTCATTTCGAAGATATCCCCAAAGGAAAATCTCTCGACCTTTTCTCCTTTCACTCCTGACATTTCCTGTGATCTAATCTAATGCATCGTGATAAGCAGAATATTTCCGTTGAATAATTCATGATGATTTCGTAATCTCACCAGTTTCTTCTCCATTTTGGTCTTGATGTCTCTAGCCAGGGTGTAAAAGGCCTCCTCAACGTTGATACTGGACTTGGCCGATGTCTCCATGAATTTAATACCATATTCAACAGCTAATTGCTCACCCCTCTCCTTCGACACTTGTCTCCTGTCCGACAGTTCACATTTGTTACCTAGCAGCATCTTCTCAACGTCCGCCGATGCATTCTCCTCGATGTTGCGAATCCAATTTTTTATATTCTCAAAACTCTTGTCGTTTGTTACGTCGTAGACGAGCATTATGCCCATTGCGCCGCGATAGTAGGCTGTTGTGATTGTACGAAACCTCTCTTGACCAGCAGTGTCCCTAAAATTTATCAGGAATAATCTTCAAGTCCCACAAAAAAAATATTTCATAAAAAGAGTTCACTAATTTCTCCTTTTCTTGATTGAATCAACAGTTGCGAGAGGGTTTCTCTAATTAGTGGAAGATAATGGGAGTAATTACCATATCTGTAGCTTTATTTTCTTCCCATCTAGCTCAATTGTGCGTATCTTAAAGTCAATACCTAGAAATTGAAATTAATTTCAGATAAATTAACTCCAAATGATGAAATCAAACAAAATTATTAGTTTAACATAATTAATATCGCAGGATTCACTTCAAATAATCGAAAAAATCTTGAATTATTTTGAGTTTTATTTTTCTTCCTTGTAAAAAACACGCATTATTCAACCCATGCTGCCCCACAGGCCCTGCAAAAACCAGAATATTATTCCCAAAAGTTTAATAAAGGAGAAAATTCCCAGGAATTGAAGTGAATTTTAAATAAATTGCTTAATGGAGTTGATAATTATGGGAATATCCCAGGAATTAATGAGTTTACGAGAAAATGTGGAACGATTTTTTCGAGTGAATTTAATTCTCTCATAAATTTTTCCCTGTTGTCAGATTATTTTGGAATCGATTGTTTTCGATCCCCAAATTATGCAGAAGTAGGCGAACATTTTTCGTAAGGAATAATTGGAAAAAAGTGTATGACAATGTCTTGGTTCTGAAATGATGCATCAGAGGTAGAAAAAATCAAGTCATCCAACGAAATGATTTTAAATCATCTTGAATCGCAGTTTCAAGTTGACAACAACTGCAATTCAGTGTCTAAATTTAGAATCTTTCGAAAGAACTCAAATCATGAGACAACTGTCACGTTACGGAGTCATCAAACCCTCAATGTCCGTCGGATGAATAATAATCCATGCCAATAAATATTATTGACGGTGAATACGTCAAAAATCTGGGGAAATTCACTAAAATCAGATGAATTGAAAAATTCTCTTCATTTAACGGGTAATTATCTCGGTAATGAGTGGTTTTAGAGAAAAATGTCAATAGACTTTTTTTCCAGGGAATTAAATTTCCTACAGAAAAGTTCCTGCGATTTTTCTCTCTAAAACCACTCATTACCGAGAAAATCACAGATTCCCAAAACTAAGAGAACAAAAAAATCAAATAAATAGAAAAAAAATTATTAAATTTGTAATTATCTCTGTAATGAGTAAATTTGGGGAAAAATGTCAAAAAATATGTTTTCCAGAGAATGAAATTTCCCACAGAAAAGTTTCTGCGATTTTTCTCTCTAAAACCACTCCTTACCGAGATAATTGCAGCTTCATCAGAATGAAAAAAACAGAGTTGGAATGTAAAAAAGAAAAAAAACTAATTTAGACTCCGAGAATCTTTTCAATAATTAATTCCCCCATCACAGGTTAGGTCTCCCATGACACTGTGTTCATTGAGCCCCGAGAACCGAAAAAAAATCCTACAAAGTCGTCTTTGTCCTCCGGCGATTCCCTCATTTCCTCATGAACGTAAAAAACTCGAAGAATCTTCTCCACGGCGCGCCCAGCCTCTCTCATCATCCTATCCCCCCATTCTAGTCTCCCGGAGATAAAGAGGATGACTAATGACAGTCACCGACAATTATCGCCTGAGAACCCCTCGAAAAATCCCGAGAATCTCTATCAAAGCAGAAAATTCCCTCGAAATGGGGAACATTATTAATTAAAAATCATCGATTGCTGCGAAACTACTGCAGATAATTAAAAAAAATTGGATTATCTGAAAACCCTATTCCTGCTCCTTGAAAATCACACATTACTTATCCCATTTTGCCCCACAGATCCTGATATATCACCAATTTTACAAATAAAAAAAAGTAAAAGTTGAAAAAAATGAATAAAAAATTGTAAAAAATCATTAATATTAGCGGAACTGGGGGAGATGAATGAAAAAATTTTGACATTTTGAATGTGGATTTTGACTCTTCGAAATGGTTCGTAATTCAGCCCATTTTGCCCCGTATTCCTCAAAATATCCCCGATTTTAACACCTAATTCTATTTTAAAGGAGCAAATGAACAAAATAATGACTTAAAAATTATTAATATCATGAAATTGACTGAAATAATGAGAAAATGCTGGATCGTTCAACCCATTCTGCTCGCGTATTCTCAAAAATATGCGCAAAAACCCCTAAAAAGCGAAAACTTTATGAAATATCTTCTCAAAACTCATCCACCTCCCCAAAACATGAGTAAATAATTCCAAAAAAATTCACACCACTTCCAAACCTTCAGTTCTCTCGAAAATACCCTCCCAAAAATCCCATTCTGCCCCACAGATCCTTAAAAATTAGTAATTTCCCGAATAAAGTCTAAAATAAATAAAAAAAACTTCCAGTCGGAAGCAAAAATTGAATAAAATTCCCCAAAAAAAAAATTCCCATAGAATTGCAAAAAATATCCACAAGAACTTCTCCAAAAAACCTAAAAACATCTCTGAAATGTCCTCTTCAACCCCCTCCCCCCCTGGACATAAAGCCAACAATTTCCCTCCCCTTTCCCCATCCCCAAACCCCAAAAAAACACCAATAATTTATGTAAACGTGGTATAAAATAAAATTCAAAAAAAATTAATAGGGGAGGGTGGGGTAAAATGGACACTAGACTTTTTTAAAATTATTCATAACTCAGAAACAAATTGATCAATTGAGCTCAGTTTAGGCTCCTCACAAAGGGAAAGAATTGTTCTTTGTATTGAAAAAAAAAAATTAAATTGTATCAACATTTCAACCCCTCATCAACATTTTAAAAAAAGTCAAAAGTGTCCGTTGTACCCCAACCTCCCCTGCAGTAAACAAAAGAATAAAATAAGATTCCCCAAAATAAATAATTCCCATAAATTGCCAAGAATATCCCGAAAAACCTCTCCACCCCATCGACACCCCCTCCCCCTAGCCGCCGAGACAACAATTTCCCTCCCCTTTCCCCATCCCCAGACCCCAAATAACTCACCAATAGTCGATATAAACGTGGTGTTGAAAGCATCCTCGGAGAACCTGAACAAAACACAAGTTTTCCCGACTCCAGAGTCTCCAATCAGCAACAACTTAAACAAGTAGTCATAGGTCTTTGCCATTATCCTCAAATACCTCCCCAAACCTTCCCAAAAAACGGTCCTCTCTTCCTCGTAAATCTCACCACCAAAATCGTATTGTTAAAAACCTATAAAAAGAAACGAATCCAATTGGTAACCTCAATATCGTCACTGCACTTTCAATCGCACTTTGACACTCAACGTGGAGGGAGGGACTGTCCCGGATGCAACGTGTCGGGTATTATTTGCTTTTCGACTACCTCTGATGACCTGTTGTGATGACTGATGTCTTTATGTCGACGTCAATGTCGCATTTGTCGGGGACGTTTGTTGAAAAATTTCTCGTCTTTCTGTTCTGTTCGTTCTGTTCTTCTGGGGATAAAAAAAATTATGAATGATCGGACGAGTCGAGGAATTCGGAGCAGCTGGCACCTGCTGTCTCGATCATGAACTCCTCGTGACGGTTAGCAATGATGAGGGATTAATTGGGAATTAATTGGGGAGGGGAACACTCACTCACTTGTGGATTTCGGTCAACTATTTTGCTCTTTCGTCGGTTATTTTCATTTTTTTTGACACTGGAGGGATCGCACGGGGACGATGGGGATGGGAGGAACCTTGACTCCTATTTCCACCAATGATGTCATAGGAGGCACTGAGTGACGGGGGGATGACTAATTGTTGTAGAAGATTGGAGTGATTGGGCGTTCTGGGAGTTCTGGGATTCTTCTGGGAAACTGGGATTTTTCTCGCGAATTTTTAGGCTCTCGAGGACAATTTGGGGTTTTTATGAGAAGGGGGAGAGGGAAAAAACATTTTAATTGAGGGGGCGAGGGGGTATGGGGTGGGGAATTTTTATCGCTTCATGAAAACACTGGAGAGGTTTATTTGAATCGAGATGGAGCGAAAAAAAACAGTATTTGTTTGAAAATGTGAAAATTGATTCTTTATTGAGAAACTCTCAACTTTTGTTTCTTCAATAGACTCTGGAGCTTCTTCATGTTGTCTCGGGCACTCCGCGCCCGGGGGTTTATCTCCAGGGCTTTGGTGTACATTTCCCTAGCTGCGTCGTACTTATCCCATCGGTGGTAGAGGACGCCTGGAAATTTCAGGGGTACTTTGCAGATATCTCGGAAACCACTGGTTTTATCGAAAAATGTGATAAGTACTTTTTTAAGCAGAATTAAATTTACTACAAAAAATTTCTTGTGACATTTTTTCGTAAATCCACTCGTTTCGGAGATTTTCTCATATTAAAGATGGAAAAAATCTCACCCAAGTTTGTAAAAATCGTTGGATTCCTCGGGTCTAATCTCAACGCATTTCTGAACTCCTCCTCAGCCTCGGGGAATTTCCCAAGTTTCCCCAAGATGTTTGCAATGTTCAGACGAATTACTGCGTCCTCGGGGAACAGTTCCATCGCCTTTTCCCCCTTCTCCAATGCCTTTTCAGGTAAATCTGGAATTTTTTAAATTCATCAGTGGATGAGATTACTTTTAATGAATTCTCTAGCTACCCATGTCGTCCAGGAGTCTTATGGTGTTGGTCCATGCTCTTCGGTGCTTCAATTTCCTGGAGATCGCCTCATCCCAGGCGACGAGGGCCTTCGAGTACTCCTTCTGCTCCATGTACTATTCCATTTCAATAAAATGATTTCGTGAATGAGTGAGGGGAATTAAAGACATGAAAACACGTTTCAGGGACTCACCAAAATCCCTAAATTGTAATAACAATCAGGACAATTTGATCTATGCATCAACGAGGTCTTGTAGCAGTTCTCAGACTCTTCAAATTTTTTTAATGCCGACAGAACAATTCCCAGGTTCATCCAGGCTGCTGCAAAATCCTCTCTATTTTTTTTAATCAATAAATTAATTCAGTAAATCAATTAAATTAATTCAGTAAATTAATGAAATTAATTAATTCACTCAATTTAATAAATTAATTGAATTGATTGACTAAATTAACTATTATTGCATTTGTTAATTTAAAGAGTTTACAATTAATTCCTGCAAAATTAATAATGGAATTATCGAAGTAAGAATTGAATAGATAAATTGAGAATTGGGAAAAAAATCTCACTGAAGCTCAATAGATCGTCTCAGCAGCTGCTCAGCATCCTGGAACCTCCCCTGGTCCTTCAGCAGATTCCCCAGGTTGTTCATGGCCTGGGAATACTCAGGATGAAGTCTCAAGGCCTCTCTGTACTCCGCCTCTGCCAGGGTGACGTTCCCCAGGTCAGCAGCGCTCTTAGCAACGTTGTAGTGAGCTTTAGCGTTCAGGGGACAGACGTGCAATGCAGAACGAAAGAGTGACAACTCTGTTCTCCATTCAGCACTTCTGCTCCAGGACCTTGCGAACCAGGTGGTGATGAGGATCGTGTACAGGAGGAGGGGGATCTTAGGACTGGCGAGGAGTTCGCAGAGCTTCTGGAGACTGAGGGTCAGGAGGAGACAGTAGCCTGCTGAGGGGAGGTAGAGGGTCCTCTCCGCTAGGACGAAACCCACGTTGAAGAAGAGATTGCTCGCGGGGAGAAAGGGGATTATCAGGAGGGATAGACCTGTCAGGATGTACCTGAAAAGAATAAATAGAATTTAGCTGATGGAAATTATTTTTCTGGATTTTTTAAGCGACTCATCAATGAAAGAATTACGAAATTGACAATGTTATTTTGAAAAATGAAATATTTTCATTCTGTAAATTAAGTTTATAATAATTTTAAGATAATTATCATTTATTTATTATTTATTATTCATTATTTATTATTTAAGATCATTATTATCTTCTCAATGAGTGGAATAAGGCAAAAATGTGACAAGATATTTTTTATATTGAGGTGCAATTAATGAATATACTTTTTACCTTGAATAATCTCGATGTGGCTGCCTCACAGCAGCTCCAAAAAACAACAGGAAAAAAGTCCATAAAAAGACAATTGCACACATTCTCCAATCCCATTCAACAATGAGAGGAACACTGCCCATGGACCAGTCAAAGGACAGCCAATGAGGGCAGACGAGTAACCAGAGATTCAGGGAATAAATGTACTGATAATTGATGTAACGAAGTGAAGAGCTGTTCAGAAATGACGAGGGGTTGTCGACAGCCTGGAAAGTCGGCGGGGAAAACCCCATGAGACTGAACCTGATCCCCATCAGGATCACCCCAGTGATGATTAAAGTAGATAAACGAATTATAAATCTGTAATTTTCGACAACTGTTGATTTCACGTCTCCTGGGGTTCGCAGCATCTGGGGATTTTTCTCGTGGAGTTTTGATAAATCGTAGACAACACACAGGCCCTGAAATTATTTGATGACTAATTGATTGATGGGAAGAACTGCATTCTCGATGAGAAAAATAATTAGAACATTTCATCACTTCGACAAACTCTTAAGATAATTATTAAAATAATTATTACTCACAATCGCTGTGATTCCCGTCTCTTTGCACAGCATTCCAGCAGTTATAAACATCACACAAATCAACAAATATAAGAACATTTTGTTTAAACGTATGCAACAAATACTTTTGTCGTAGGACAATATCGAGAGCCAAACAAACATTGCACTGAGAACATCTGCTCTACCAACAATTCCCGAAACCTGGAAGAGAATTATTTAGAGTTTGACAATTGGAAGAAACATTAATTATTGAAATATTGACTGATGTTGAGTTGAAAAACAATTAATACAGCAAAATGAATTAATTATTTGATTGTTATGTTATTATTTGTTAATATTAACTCATTTTGTTGCGTTAATTATTTCGACTTACAGCTTCACAATGTACTGGATGAACAGCAAAAAGCACAGCAGCATAAAAAGCCAGATATCTCGATTCCCTTTTAAATAATTTCTTGAAAACAATGAGAGTCAACAATGAAACAATTGAGTGGAGGATTAAATTTATTATGTGGAAATCTGCCGAGTTCAAATGCCCTCTCAACCAGTGGTGAAACCTAGGATGCAAATCCCATTAAAAAATAACTAAGAATGTTGAAAAATCTAATTATTAATTGGGGAAATGTAAGTGGAGAGTGATTTCAGTCCAGATTTTCCTCGAGGGAAATTTCTCGTCGTTTTACCTGAATGTTAAGATTGTCAGGGGTCTGTAAGACCGATGACTCTGTCTGTGTGTCAATTTATTCCCCCAAAAATCATTAACAAATATCTTTGATAACGAATTTGTCGAGACGTCAGGATTATTGACGATAGCAGGTGAATCGTCGAAGACGAAATCTCCGTCGTACGAATTTATGAAGCAGAGAGATGCCAGGGAAACTACTAAAGCCTCGTAAGTACACGAAATTGCTGGAAATAATGTTAAAAAAATAATAAATTATTCTATGAAAGTACAAAACCCAGGTGATCCCAGAGTTTTTGATACGTGGTGACATTAATTCACTCACCAGGAAGTCTTGGAGGGCCTCTCCCGCCCATTTTTGAAGCTCGGGTGATGCTTCGATCCCCCTGTCACCTCAATCTCATTTTTTCGTCAATTGTTTCATTGTTGGCGGTGTTTATTCACGATTTCCACGGGTTTTCAACATTTTGGAGTATTTTAGGTTAAGGAACGTCAACAATCACACTTGTCACGTCACACCCCACCCACTGGGCTTTGGAATGAGCCAATGGCAGGTGAGTCGAGGTCCCTGACCCTCGCAACAGTCGAAAAAATTTCTGGACATGAGACAGTCTCATGTTCACTAATTTAACATTATCTCGATAATAAGGGGATTGAGAGGAAAATGTCAAAAGACATTTTTTGTGGGGAATTGAATTTCCCACAAAAATGTATTTCAACATTTTTTTCTAGACTCATTAATTAACGAAATAATTGCGAATTAATTAACAGGATGAAAACACTCTCTAAATAGAGACGCGAATTTTTATAGGGAAAATAAATCCATTCGGGGAAAGAATTATTTGATGAAACTCTAAATTAGTAAGGACTCTGGATTAAATCAGAGTCCTGAAATAAATTTTAATCTTCTAGAGTAAAAAATCCTATTTATTCTCTCATCGCCCTTTCGTCACCACAAAAGCATCTCCCGACAAAAATGATAAATAAAGGTGAATAACACGATTTGAACTAAAGAAAATTAAGTATTTATTATCAATAACTTGTACAATGGAATCAAATATACAAAATGAATCACCATTACGCGTAGTAAGAAGGAGGGACAGTCAGATCTTGAAGTATACCCAACTGCTCTTCCGTGAATGATTGAGCATGTGACGCCCATCCGTCGTAGTGGGTCCTCTTGAAGTCGCCCAGTGTCTTTCTTATTGTCGTCTGAAACAATGCGAACAATCAGAAATAAAAATGCAAAGGATCATCATTTTTTATCGTAAAAGAAACAGTCGTTATTTACAATTGTTGGAACGACTTTGAGGTATAGAACAGTCTTGTTCAATTGCTTGAATAATAATTCTTTCTTGTGTTAAACAATGACAATCCATTCGTATGTGAGGGACTGGGGACTCACCGGAATGGGCTGTGGATCGTTGAGACGAAGATTGAGGTACTCAAAGATAGAAGGCACATATTTCGGTACGTGATAAGGCTGTGCTCGTACGAATGCACACAATCCAAGAACACCAGCGTGTCTCAATCTCAAATCGTCAGGCTTCTTTATCTTGATCTTTGACTTTAACTTAAACTCCTCCTAAAATCGAAAAGAGGTCACCATTAGACTCTGAAAGGCATTAAAAACAGATGGAAAAATTGAATCCATAAAAAAAATTCCCTCATTGTTCCCAAATTGTTTCATCAAAATCGTCCATTGACGAATTAATCTTTCAAATTCCATTTTGGCACAAAATTCAATTCTTAAAAAAATATTTCCTTAAAAAACAAATCAGAAGAGAGAAGTGAGAGGCAAGGCCGACGAATGGGGCGCCTATAAAACCGTAATGGTAGTAGGAAAGAAATATGAATAAAAAAATACATATTTCCTTAAAAATCCCTCGTGTTAAAATGAAAGTGACTCACCAGCAGTGCCTCAGGGTCAGGGACAAAGGTGCAGTGCAGCAGTCCACAGAGGACCTGCCCAGCCTTCTCCCTCACCTCAACCCTCTCGTCCTCCAGCATCCTCAAGACCACCCCCTGCACCCTGCCCACCCACTCCCCGCAGCTCAGGATCACCCCCATATTATAAAAAACGAAGACCTCGAGAAAGCTCAAGCACGAGTTCTTGGCGGACCACGAGCTCTCCCCGAACACGCTCTCGACGTCCCCGAGGACCTCCTCCATGACCCCAGGAAGTGCCTGCGTCTGAGCGAGAGATGCCAGAGCCCTCCTGCAGGTGGCCCTGAGCTCGTCATCCCCTTCGCAATTCTCAAGCTGACACAAAACCGTCAGGAGTTTCGTCGAGTCCGGAAGAGTCCCTCGATCGCTGGTGAAGGCGTGATTGACGATCCACTTGCAGATGGTCTTCAAGAGGCTGATCTCTGTCTTCCTGTCCTCGAGATCAGTGGAATCGACGTCCGACAGCTCGACGAGTTGTGGGAGGACCCTGCCCATGAGATCCCTCGCCCTGGGCCTCATCCTCTCGGCGTCTGGGCTCCTCTCCTCGTAGTCAGCTGAGAAAATCAGGGTCAGGAGGCTTCCCAGGCTGTCCCTGACGTTCTGGAAGGGATCAGCAAGCAGTCGCCTCTCGACCCTCTCCAGGAGTCTCACGCAGAGCTCGGAGACCCTCCAGGTCTGGTTGATGAGGGCCGAATGAACGATGAAAAGCCTCTGGCACTCGAGAAATGAGGCTGTGGCATTCGCCTGGGCTGGCTCCTCCATCAGGCACTCCAGGAGCCAATGATGCCTGTTAGGATCCCTTCGCCTCAACGACTGGCCAAAACAGACGCCCCAGTCCCTAACCGTCTCCGTCGTGACGTTCTCCAGGGCAATCCTGATTACTGGAAGGACTTTCTCCCACATCTCAACGATCATATCGAAGTCCCAGTGCTTGGAGCCCCTGATCATCCCTGCGATCACCTCAGCTGCGCACAGCTGACTGCTCTCCTGCTTCTGGGTGACTAGGCTCGACAAGTGAGGGAGGAAGAGGTCCACGAGCTGCACCCCGTGATTCCTGAAGAGTCCCTTGTAAAGTTGAAATCTGAATTCATTGAATTTGTCCCTTCCCTTTCGCTCCTCCAAGCTGTTGAAGTTAATGAGCTTGGAGATGTGGCTGGGGTCCATGACGAAGGCCTCCACGAGGTGCTCCGAGGGGCTGAGCTCACGCTCTGGACCCAGTGGGGGCTGCTCACCAGACGGGGCGTAGACTTCTAGCTGTTTGGGCCACGTGTAGAAGCCTATGTAGGGCTCGTGCACGTATCTGCTCTCGTTCCACTGCTCCTTCGATAGAGGACGAGTCGAGTGGTTGTACTGGAGGAACAGGTTGTCCGATCTGATGCCCAGGGGCGCACTGGGGGGACACCTTGGGCTCTCTATCAAAATTTTCTTGTGTTCCCTCTTCAATTGCCGCAGGATCGTCACCACTGTGGGAATGGCGATCTTCCTCTCCTCCAGGGAATCGTGTAAAAGAGCGTTTAGGAAATAGTTGATGACCCTGGGGGGGTAGTCCCTCTCGGGATGCGCCAGTTCCCTCAGCAGCTTCATCCCCATGGCCCTCTGCCTCCAGTGGCAGTTATCCTCGATCGCACTGACGATTGCCTCCACCAGACCCTCGTAGTTGTCGATGTTCTCTCTTTCCAGCTGCCTCATCTCCTCGAGCCCCACCTGGATCTCCTCATCTTCAGGTTGGGGGACTGATGGCCTGGGGGAGCTGTCCCACAACTCAACGGCGATCTCCACGCAACTCTCGGGGACGTTCAGCTTTATGGCGACGTTGTGGAAGCCCCTGTAGACGGTGTCGGTGATGCTGTTCTTCAGTCTGATGACTGACATCTTCTCTGAGGGTTTTGAGGTCACCAGCGCTGGCCACAGGTTACGCAGGAAGCCCCAGTCCCTCGTGGCCACCAGGGCACTGCTCCTCGGACCCAGGAGGAGGTACAGAAGCCCCTTGTGTGCCTCGTGGTGCTCCTCAGGGTCCCTTCCCAGCATCTCCACCAGGTGAGGCATGAAGAATTTGTAGGAGTACGGGAAGTACGTGAACGCCATGAACAGCGTCTCCTGGGGACTCGTCCTCACGTCGGCGTAGGTACTTGTCGCCAGGTTGAATAACTGGAGCATTATGTCCTTGTGGAAGGCCCTGAGACTGTAGAAGCTGGAGTAAACCCTCATCTCGTGCTGCAGCTCAGCCCTCTCGAGGATGTATTCGTCCAGGTGCTTCTTCTTTTTTATCAGGTCGTCTCGGAGGTCCACTTTGAAGAGACGCATCGCTGCTGAGTGCCGCTTGTGAACGTCGACGTGACGATATTTTCCTAGGAGCAAGACACTCCAGATCGTGGGGAGGACTTTCAGGCTCTTTGTGTCGTCCTCCGAGGACTTCAGCATCATCTCCTGGAGCTCTGAGAGCACCTTCACCATCTCTTCGCGAACGTTTCCACCGTCTGGCATTGTCACTTCTCCTTTGATACCGACGATCAAGGTTATCTCGTGCTCGATGCACCTGGGGGGGAGAGAATCATTCAAGTGAATTGAATTGAAGTAAATTGTTTACAGATTTTTTCTGTTAGCTCCGGAATAAATGGTACGATTTAGATGAGTCAGATCTCATTTTGAAGTGTGAAAAAATAGCTTTAAAATGAAACGAGAAAATTGAAATTTCACTCTGCCAATCTCGAGTTATAAAATATTTTCGGAATTTAATTCTGCACGTTCATTCAGTAATTATCATTGACCAATTATTAATTAATATTAATCACTAAATAGTAAAAATTCCTGGATAACAATCACATATTTATCAATAATGAGATTGACAAGCAATGAAAGCCCTAAAAATTCCTATTCATCGTCAATTTTAAATAAAGAAAATAGAAAAAAAACAATTTCTCACTTGGAGTCGTCCTCAGGAACAGGGAGAAACGCGATGCAGCCATCGATAATCCGAGCAATGATATTGAGGCTCGTCAGCAGCTCCTGCCTGCTGATGGAATTCCCAGTGGCCACGTACTCCTTGATCTTCGCAATCTCCATTGGCATGTACCTGTTGAAGATCTTCTGGATCATCGCGATCTCCTCCTCCCCAGGGACATACCAGTGCAGCTCCATCTCGTCGATGTCAGCGCCCTGCCCCCAGTCCAGGACGTAGGGGTAATGAGGGTCGTTAAAGTCCTTCCCATTGTACATGAAATTGCAGCAAACGCTCATGTTGGATAGGGACCCCAAGAGGGTCCTCAGGATCCTGCTGGCCAGTTTCGATCCCTCCCTGGACTTGAGGTGAAGTGTCTTGTCCAGAATCTCCATGAGGGTCTCCATGTGGGGGAGGAGGTCGGTGCCCCTGGTGTCCACGATATTCGCGACGAGGAGAAGAGCGTAGAGGAGCCTGTCGTCGAGGTTCTCCTCCTTGGCAACCTCTCCCTCCTCCACGAACTCGAGAATAGTCTCTGCCAGCCCTGGGAGAAGGGCTTTCAGGGTCTCGCGACCGTTCACTTTGGAGAAGCTCCGGCACAGGGAGGCTGCTAGGGGCCCTGAGACCCTCGTCTCGAACACTCGCTCAGTCACGAATATCCGGAGCTTGTGGAGAACCGATTGGTAGATGTCGTTGCTGGTCCTCAGCAACAGCCTCATGCAGACTGAGCCCAGGGCCAGCTCCACCATCGACTCGACCTTGCTCTTTCCATTGTTCTCCTGGTTCTCGTGGGACACGTACTCCAGGGTGCTTGACTCGATCAGGGAGAAAATTCTCTCGAAGAACTGCAGCATGAAGTCCTCGAACTGCGCTGTCTCCTCGCAGATCTGTCTGTCGTCGTCCTCGAGGTCGCCGGACGCTCGGGAGGAGTCGGTCACGGGGACCATCGTTGTGTAGACTGAGATCAACCTGAATGGTTTGGGAGGGATTAGAGATCGGGATTTGATTTTGCTTTTTTGTAAGGAATTGAATTCTCTAGAAAGATATCTTCTAGGGCTTTTTCGGGCAAAGTATTCATTAATGAAGGAATTGGGAAATTTTCAGATTCATGAGGATTAGTTCTTGAATTTTTTGGAAATTATTAGACTTGGAGAATAATTCCAAATGCCGTTTCGATAAACCCAAATTTTCTATTAAAAAAATAGCCCAACCTGAAGGTCGCGAAGGACTTGACCAATTCATTCCCATCAATCCCAGCAAGAGTTTGAAAATCATGTTTTTGTAAGGAATTAAATGGTCTAGAAAAATATCTTCCAACATTTCTTCCTCGAAAATCATTAACTTAAAAAAATAGCCAAACCTGAAGGTCGCGAAGGACTTGACCAATTCATTCCCATCAATCCCAGCAAGAGATTGAAAATCATGTTTTTGTAAGGAATTAAATGGTCTAGAAAAATATCTTCCAAAATTTCTTCCTCGAAAATCCTTAACTTAAAAAAATAGCCAAACCTGAAGGTCGCGAAGGACTTGACCAATTCATTCCCATCAATCCCAGCAAGAGATTGAAAATCATGTTTTTGTAAGGAATTAAATGGTCTAGAAAAATATCTTCCAAAATTTCTTCCTCGAAAATCCTTAACTTAAAAAAATAGCCAAACCTGAAGGTCGCGAAGGACTTGACCAATTCATTCCCATCAATCCCAGCAAGAGATTGAAAATCATGTTTTTGTAAGGAATTAAATGGTCTAGAAAAATATCTTCCAAAATTTCTTCCTCGAAAATCATTAACTTAAAAAAATAGCCAAACCTGAAGGTCGCGAAGGACTTGACCAAGTCATTGCCATCAATCCCAGGAAGAGAGGACATCAGCAGGGGAATGACCCTGGAGGGGCCTTCGTTGTAGGTGTACCCAGTGTTAACATTCCTCTTCCCCTGGATCAAGGGTCTGGCGACAGCAGTGACAGCTGCCATCGAGGCTGTCAGCTTGTGGGGTTCCGTCAATGAGTCCAGAGTGGCGAACATCCTCTCGATGACGTGGGGGATCACCAGATTCGGACGGATGGTGGCGAGCTGGCGGAAGACTGTCGACGTTGCGTTGATGCTGGACTGTCCGAACATTGCTGTCATCGCCACTGGCACCATGCTTGTCACGAAGGCGTCCACATCAGCGTCAGTGAGCTTGTGGGACTCTGGGATGGGCGTCTCCCAGGAGACCCTGGGGTACCTCTCGGCGTTGAGACGATACACGAACTGGGTTGCCAGCTTGCTCAGGAGATCCTTCAGCTTGTCCACCCAGGGGCCGATGTTCGCCTGGTAGAAGTACGTCTCCACTGTCTTCAGGAACTTCTCGAGGTGAAATTGCCCTGGGGAGTCGTTCCCCAGGATCGAGACGATCCACAGGGCCATCGACTGGGTCTCAATCTTGTGGAATTTCCCACCCTGAGTCTGCTTGTAGTAGACTGGGAGGTTCAGGCAACGGATGAAACGGGTGAACATCAGGGGGATGTGGGGCGTCCAGTCGATGTAGCCGATGTTCCTGTGGGCCAGCTTCGCCAGCAGCCACATGATCGAGTGCTGCCAGGTCGCTGCGTTGTGGGATGTCTCCCAGAGGGTCATCAGCTCGTCGAACCACAGGTGGAAACCTGACGGGTGGAGATTGGGGGGCAGTTGGAGGGGCAGCAAGTTTTCGAAGTGGTCCATCGTTTTGGGCATCGTGGAGGGGTCCATTGGGCAGATGTACGGACGGAGCTCGTCCAGGATTTCTTGGGTTGCTGAGACCTGACAGATTTTGGAGAACTCAATTTTTTGAGATAAATAACGAAGATTTTTTTCGTCAACGAAATAATTGGGAAATTTTTGGGGACTTGAAGGGTAATTTCAAATTACATTTTTGCAAAAAGTTAATTCCAGATTTTTCAAATTATCAATTTCATGCAAATTATCTCGCAAATATCTCGAAAACTATTAAACGTGGGAAAAAGTGTTGAAAAATTGGTAATTTTTTCTGAACGTCTTTCCTCGGATGGAAATACTCACAGGAAAATAAACTTTGGCTGCGTTTATGACATTCTGAATAACTTTGGGAAGTCTCGGGGGAAAACGGCATATGTCTGCTGACGATATGCTGACTTCCATGAGTCTCTTCTTCAGGTCGTACAGAGGCCTCCAGGGTAGTTCCAAATCACTCGGGGTCAGCAGCTTTGTCTTTCTGCAACGAAGGTATTATTTTTCTTTCGATCTCAATAGCAATTACCATCGAATGAATATTCAGTCGTTGGAATAGTCACCTCAGGAGGACAATCAGCGTCGATCCAAACATATTCAGCAGTGATGGCTCCAAGTCAGGTATTATTAGCAATTCGTACATCAATTTGATGAAGATTATGTGGTCTTCCTTTGTAAATCTCAGACTGTAGAGTTTCATATACCTGAGAAAATTTTAAAAATATATCTTGATGCCAGTGAAGCTCACAAATAATTTGTGAATTTTTTTTCTGCTTCGAGATGTCGAAATTTAATTTTTTTCAGAATATTTCTTCTTTAGACCATGAAGACTGCTAGATTATATCGGTTTCAAAAATGAAAAATAATAATATTCTCTGACATTGTCCTTTAAACATCATCATTAAGAAAATATTCCCAAAATGGTCTTCATTGATGACAAAATATTCATCGATTTCTTCTCTCTGAACGTCCTTACGTCTGAAATATTGACAAAATAATTTTTTCCACGTTTTCATGTTTCTTATTTTCCCACTACCTCCTAAACTACTAGGTCTACCAAAAAATATGAATAAACCTTTTACGCAGATTACGAAATTCTCTTCAAAAAATGTTTTCTGACAATTTCCTCTAAACCCCTTCATTAAAAAAATATTCATAAACCAGTCTGCAGGGTTTTTTTTCAACAGTGAAGAAATGATTCATCTTAAATCATCAATATCTCCAGACCAGACGATTAGGACAAATCAGGTCTCACTTTGAAGGTTGAAAAAAGACCATTAAGACTCAATTCTCTTTCTCAATTCCACGAAAAGCTCTTTTCAACGTCATCCTCACCATTGGAGCTTCAACGTAGCAAAGGCGCAGTCTGGCTGCAGCTTCCTCAGGGCGACAGCCCTCCCCAGCTGTCCCTTGATCTCAGCCAGGAGGCACATGGCCTCCTTGTTGAGTTCGTCAGCATAAGGCAGCAGTTTATTGTACTTATTCGTCAGCTGAAACTCCAGGCCCAGGCTCTCAGTGGAGGACTCCATGGTGACATCATCCTCCTCATCTCGACTGAAAATCTCATCCAGCAGTTGCTCCCCACTCATCAGCTTCCTCGCAATTATCGAGTTCATCGTGCAACCTCTTGAAAACCCGACTGAACCCTTGAGAATCACTGATAGACTGACGACAGGTCGTGTCAACCACCGAAGACTGATGAAAATAATCTGGTGATTCAGTAGTCGACGACGACTTGCTTATTCCTTCATTTTTCATCGAGTCATGTCCCATTGGTGTCCGCCATACTTGATGAATTGTATATTTTATCAGACAAAGGCAGGTGTTGTCACCTCTACGGGCTTATTTACCTCGAGATTGGTTATTTTAATAGGCTGGAACATCTCACGTGGGCTGTCTAGGCCGAGAATGTGGGGTGGACCATCGGGGGTGCGATAATTTGATTAAATAACAAAGGAATGTTCGACAGTTTACGCGGACATTGCCAGTCGGGGGGATGACTTATAGAGGGCCTCGGGTTTTTTTGATCGTGCGCGCGCACCTCGCGAACTGCTGGCGGCGTAAAAACAGCTGATCATTTTTTTTGATTGAGCGATTTTCGGAGCAGCAAAACATGATTTTTGACTGGTGATATCTCGGGATTGGGTGAGTGGATTTCGGGATATCTGGAATCGTTTTAAAGGGGATTTCTTAAGCTTCAAAATGAGAGGTGAGTCCGGAAATTCGCAGTTTTCGTTCAGGAGATATTGAAGATTTACGAAAAGCATTTTATTCGTGTTTTTTGAAAATATAAAATTTTGATATTCATTATTTTGCAAATATCTCGAAAACCGCCGGGTTTAGGGGAAAATATCATAAAAACTTTTGTGTTGACAATTAAATTCCCTGCAAAAAATATTTTGTGACATTTTTCGATAAAGCTCTTCGTTCCGGAGATATTTTCGAATCAAAATGAAGTCCTGATTGCTAGTCAAGAAACAGCGAATCAAACAGCATATTATTCTGATTGTGGATAACTCTGGATCGGCTGAGTGAATTCCAATAAATCTGGGTTCATTTTGAAGAAAATTTCGGGGTCTTCAAAACAAGACGTGACTCATCAAAATCGTGTCATTCATTAAAGGGAGAAAACATTCAGTTGAACTAATTGGATAAATTTATTTCGCAACATCATCAATTTCGAGTCCCTCATTAATATACAATGGTAAATCGTTCTTCTTAGGATCCTCCGCCCACTTCTGTCTCTCCCCAGAAGCGAATAGTCCATAGATCACGGCGCCTATCAGGTAAATACTCCCGGCGATGATGAAGACAATCCTCCACTCCGCGGGACTCTGAAATCACCAATCAACCGATAATTAGGGATTAATCACAGATCAATAATCTGGAGTCGTATTAAGTCTGACACGACTACTGCAGCAATTCAGACCTTATCTTTGACAATGTACCCCGTGATTATGGGGCTAACTATGCCAGGAAGCGTCGCAATGGTATTCCCTATTCCCATGAGAACACTCGCGTGTTGGGGGGCAATGTCCAGATGATTAACACTGAAACCGGACCAGGCGAAACCGCCGAGGCCCACTGCTATCGTTATGCATGCCACTGCAGCCGTTGCCGACGCCACGAAGGCCGAGGTGATCATGAAGATTGTTTGCGAGAGGAAGGCACCGCAGTTGAAGATCTTTCGTACCTTCATAAATTGGAAAACGATTGTGCTTCATAATTCATTGAATAAATTACGGTGAGTTAACGGTGCGGAGGGGCCAATTGCATCCCTGCCATTGAATTTTAACACAATTTATTGTGGGTCCACTTTCAGTGAAGTTCACATCGAAAATGAAGACTTTTCTCTTTTTTTCATTGCAAAATCTGCACAGGACATCGTCGCATTTTCATTCTTCTCATTCGCGAAATTATTCAGTAAATTACCTGTGAAATATCTCGGGTCATTACCTGTGTTGTTGATAACACATTATTAGATCTGAAGTAATTAGCCAATTGCTTTAAATATTGCAATTAGCATCTTTAATGCCATTGAACTTGATTACAATTGATTGCACTTTTAGTGAAGTTCACATAGAAAATGAAGACTTTTCTCTTTTTTTTCATTGCAAAATCTGCACAGGGCATCGTCGCATTTTCATTCTTCTCATTCGCGAAATTATTCAGTAAATTACCTGTGAAATATCTCGGGTCATTACCTGTGTTGTTGATAACACATTATTAGATCTGCAGTAATTAGCCAATTGCTTTAAATATTGCAATTAGCATCTTTAATGCCATTGAAATTGATCACAATTGATTGCACTTTTAGTGAAGTTCACATAGAAAATGAAGACTTTTCTCTTTTTTTCATTGCAAAATCTGCACAGGACATCGTCGCATCCACGAAATGCGTCCAATAAAATTCTTCTCACCTTTTTCATTCTTTTCATTCATATAATTATTCATTAAATTACCTGTGTTGTTGATAACACATTACTAGACCTCAAGTAATCAGCCAATTGCCCCGAGCATTGCAGGACAATAGCCATGACGAGATAGGGAACTGCCGACAAGAAACCCGTCTTCTCCAGCTTGAAATTCAGGACATCTAAACATCGAGAAAGAAGATTACGCAATCTTATCAGTCCCTGTCACCCCCAGTGAAGGGGATTCAAAAATATGCGGAGGGTATTTTAAATAACGAGCGCAGAGTATAGTATTACCGCTCATAAACGTTGGCAACTGCGTCAGCATCGTGTAGAACCCCCAATTTTCACTGAAATGTGCGGATATTATCGCCCACACGGGAGGGGATTTCATAATTTCTTTCCACGGATGCTTCACTTCCTGCATAAGAAACAAAACATATCGAAATTCATAAAAATCGTTCAATGAATTCATAAATTGATGAATTCAGTAGCGAAGTGGTAAAACGGTTGAAGTCGATTTTGGTCAGTTTTCAATAAATATCTCGGAATCTGAGGGACCCGAGTCGAGGATTTGGTTCTGATTGGACGGAAACAGGTCTCTCAAGATCCCTCCAGACCTAGATGGAACTGGTAAGTTCTAATCAGTTCTGCGACTTTTGCCAAATTCGAATTTTTCCGCCGAGTGAAAGTCGATTCTGTACTTTCTGGCCCGCCTAATGCCACTGAGGCCCTCACTTGCCCCGGAAATGCAGAAATAAAAAAATTTTTTTTTTGCACCCAGAGCCAAAGTGCCATATTTAGGCTTTTTTCGGGGGGAAAGTCGACTTATTGAATTATTCATCAATGAACAGTATTCACCCCTCTGTCGGTATGCCCCAGTGACCTCTTAATGTACTCCAGTTCCCCTCCGGTAATCCTCGGGTCATCCTCGGGCTTATCAGTGACAATGGCCCACCAGAAGGCGAACCAGACGAGTCCCATTACCCCGAAGACGTAGAAAACCGAGGGCCAGCCCCAGTACTCCGCCATCAGGCCGGACGCCGGCATGGCGAAGACCGTCCCTACGAAGCTGCCCGAAAAGGCAAGAGTTGCTAGCTTCGACCTTTCTAATGGGGGGGCCCAGTTCGCCCATATGGAGTGAATGCAGGGATATGTGACCCCCTGAAATCATTAACTCATTGCACTAACAGCAGATGAACGAACACGACATGACATTTAGACTCATTAAGACACAGAAGTCTTCTTGAAGTCTTCTTGTCTTCTTCATGTCACGACATTCTTAATGAATGTCACTTCTCCCCCTTTCCAAAATCTTTTTGGATAATATTCAAAAAGTATCAAGGAAAGTTGGAGAAAATGAAAACAACATTTGTCAAATTGCCATTTTGCGACGTTTCGCTAATTATTTTAGCTTCATCGGGCTCATGACTCGATTAATGTTTTAGTCCCGTTAATAAATAAACCAGTTATGTATGAAGACAGCTAATAATAAANAAAAAAAAAAAAAAAAAAAAAAAAAAAAAAAAAAAAAAAAAAAAAAAAAAAAAAAAAAAAAAAAAAAAAAAAAAAAAAAAAAAAAAGACTATTAAAATGTCTAAATAAACTGTTAAAATGCAAACAACAGAAAAAGACGTTAATGCCAACACTCGATCAGTCTCCCCTTAGAGATTACACCAACAACAAATTTTTGGATAATGGTCTGAAGGGGACGAAGTGTCTGTTTAAGGCCCGGGGGATCATCTTTCGAACACCCTAAAGACGAGCTTAAATGCTTCTGACGGTCCATATCACGGCTCTTCGATATCTGTTTGGACGAAACTACATGAAAAACGATTCGAAAAAATGAATATTTGTATCAGGAATAAAGAGAACATTCCGGGGAACTCAAAATGCATTGATTGTTCATACTTCGAAAACTCCCTCGACGACTCTCAGTGCGACCAAGACGTAAACGCTGATCCTCGTCAACGGTGGGGTGATGAGCGTGAGGAGGGCTGTGGAGGCTATTCCAAGACCGAATATTTTTTTGCCTCCCATCTTTGCACTCAGCCATCCTCCCAGGAACTGCGTGCTTATGTATCCGTAGAAGAAGGAACTCAGGACGAGCCCCTGGAGCTTCGAGTCCCAGTCGAACTCTGGTTCGTGCTAGAGTTCGAGGTAAATCTCTTAAATATGTTCGACCTTCTCACAAACATGTTCGACCTTCTCTCAAATATCAATATTGATATTAATTTCTTGAAAGTATCCTTCGCATGCAACAGGAAAACAAAAATTTATTTAATAAAATTTAATAAAAAGGGGCAGTTTAAAGAACTGTTTCACCTCGAAATGATAAAGAATGAGCTTCGGGATTTTTTATCAATGTCATGGTATTGAACACTGACCTTGTCGGATTTCGACGTCATTGCGACGATCGCAACGCTCAGGTTCACGCGAAGGATGTAGGATATGAAAAACCCCAGGAAGGCGAGAAAACCAACTACGTAACGACGTTTTCGCCAGAATCTCCAGCCCACGTCTTCGTTCGTCGCGTCTTCCATCGGGTCTTCCTTTTTCACACTACAAAATCGGAGTGTTATCATCGCTTCTTCCTTTTTATCAATAAATTATTCCTCAATATTCACACATTTTGGGACCACAATTTTCCGGAATTTTCCCCAACAAAAATTCTGTTTATTGGTTTATTGGAAGCCAGGGGAATAAATCAGTAGCGAAGCGGTAAACCGGGTCAAGTCGATTTTTACTATTGGCTAGTTTTTGACGAATATCTCGGAATCTAGAAGAGATAGAAAGATTTTTGTCATGACCTTCTTTGTAGAGCCAATAGAGCGTTATAAAAAAAGTCATGAGGAAAATTTTGCTATCTCTCTTAGATTCCGAGATATTCAGCAAAAACTAGCTAATAGTCAAAATCGACTTGACTCGGTTTACCGCTTCACTACTGAAATAAAAGACACTTTTGTTAGAGCAATTAGACTTGGTTTTTATCAGGACGTGTTCTCGCATCGAGAGCAGTCGCAGAACTGAATAAAGAATATCCAAGTCACAAGACCATAGCCTTTTTATTATGGTTTCTTTCTCACCAGACTTTATCATATGTTTATATTATTTAGTAAACATTCGACTGGAGTTTCGTCGTAAGACCCCACAGGCGGGTCTCTCCAGGAAGAGTAATCTCATAGCATGATAAACCCAAGTTATATCGGTCAGTAATATGATCGAATTGTTTTTGCTCTTGTCAAAACTGTTGTTTTTAAAATACTCAACCAGTGTGAAAGGAAAATAATTTAAACTTCGCTTTGCAAAAACCGATTATGAATGACATTGAGCAACAAACATATTTGAAATTGCTTCAACGAACAGCCGCGATAACGAGAGCATTCGCACAAGCGTACGTCACGTTTCGTTCTAAATCAGGGATTGCCAAATTTGTAATATTTTATTACGGTTAATATTGTAGCCCTTAATTAGATAACAATACTCTCGAAATTTTTTGAGTACTTAAGTCTCATAAATTCTAATATTTAAAATTTTCAACTATTTTGTCAATCAATAATTGAGGTAGGAAGATTGACCATTATTCGCAGTAAATTTACAATTTCAGATTATCAAATTTTAAATACATTATTATTCGTAAAAAATCAGATTATTAATATTATATTATTTGAAAAATTGAATCAACATATTTTAAACCTTCATTAATGTAAGGGTCAAATCTTGTAATATTCCAGAAATTTAATATTGATGTGGATCCCTGTTGTAAATAATAAGTGAAGTTATTACCTGCCGTAAGACGCCTCTTTCCTCGCCTCCAGATGCACCTCCTTTCCGTCCATACCCGGCTCTCAAACTGAATCTCAGATTTCGCTATCGGAATTCTGCTCGAAAAATCAGCGACTCGTTCCGTCACAAGAATGCAAATCCCATTAAACTCTTAATCGCACGCGCTATCAGGCACCTCAGCTCTACATATTTGCTCTGACATTATCCGACTCCTTCAACAATATGCACGAAAACTTCTAAAACATTCACGAGCCTTCGGTTGCCCAACGCCGAGGAGATCGAATAGGAACGGGAAACTTTCACTTCAGCCCAGGACTCGACATTGACATATAGAACACTTTTCCGCGTTAATTCGAATGTCTAGCGTAATGTCGTGACGAAACGCGATGACAGCTCGTACCGAGTGCTGGAGTGAAGGCGATTTACCCAATTTTTCAGTGTCAATTATTATTTAGGGGAAGGGAACGGGTTTGAGAAATTTAAAGAGAGTCGAGGGGCTCCGGATGATCCAGCGTTGAGAGCTGGGGGACCCCCTGGAGGTGCCCCGGCCCCGTTAGTCGTCCCGAGACTCGCGAATTCCGGAGTCGCGGTCGCGCGTCGACTGAAACTGCAATTGATAACGCGCGGAAGTCAACGGTTTAACTGGTTACGAACGAGCGAAGTGGGCACTTTTGGTACCTCCCCCTTTGCACGAGAAGCCGGAAGTCGCGGCTCTTTCGCCTTGGATTCCGTAATTTCGATCTGTTTGATGATGAAATTCGATGTGCACTAGTTGTTGAACGATACGACATTGAATTTTAATGGGGATAAGTGGGTTCTTGAGCGTGTGAAGGGCGAGATGTTGAGAGAATTGTGGTGGAGCAGGATTTTTTGAGCGTTTTGTCAGTAACGCTGTCTTTGTTATTAATTCGCGGAGAGAATATATTTTAGGTTTCAGAGATTGCGAGGAATTTTCTGGAAAAACTACATTTTAATGACTTAATATCAGTAGTGAACTGGCAAAACGGTACAAGTCAATTTTGACTATTGACCAGTTTTCAATGAATATCTCGGAAGCTGAGGGAGATAGCAAAATTTTTGTTATGACCTTTTTTGTAGAGCCGATTGAGAGCTACAACAAATGTAATTACGAAAATTTCGCTGTCTCCCTTACATTCGGAAATATTCCTGAAAAATTCAACTGGGAGATGAGTCGACTTGAACAGTTTTACCGCTTCGCTACTGATTTTTTTAAAATTAAATTCAAGAACGCATGGTATGGACGCCGCAATTTCATTAAATTTTCAGTGGAACATATTCAGAAACAAAATTCCATGAATTGTCAATTTTTCCCTGAATTTTCCTGATTTTTCGGAATTGTTACAGAAAAATTGAACTGAAAAATCAAGTAATTTATCGATTTCCAGATTATTTGAACAGAAAATCAATGAAATATTTGATTTTTCAATGACAAGATCTCCTCAAATTTCAGTGGAACTTCAACACGATAAAAACTTCCGGAATTTGGCGCGGAAAATTCAGGCGAAATTTTCAGTTTTTGCTGAATATCTCGGAATCTAAGAGAGATAGCAAAATTTTTCTCATGACTTTTTTTATACCGCTCTATTGGCTCTACAAAAAAGGTTCTGACAAAAATCTTTCTATCTCTTTTAGATTCCGAGATATTCGTCAAAAACTAGCCAATAGTAAAAAACGACTTAACCCGATTCCGCTTCGCTACTGAATTTCTCTCCAAATACGCCTCAATGTTCAGACTCCCTTCTAAAACAACTTTTATCAAAATTTCTAAACACATATAATCCCCGGAATTTCTTCGGTCTTCTTAATTAGCTTCTGTCAGTGGTGTCTCCGATAATGCCTATCAGACAGAGAAATCGTATGAAATCATCCGTCATTCCGAAGTGCTTAGTAACAATTATGGAAGGAATGAAGAAAAGCGCGTCATTAGAGTCATTGTCACTGAAAATCCCCATACTCTCCCCAAAATTTTCATACCCAAGTAATGGCCCGAGCCATTGCCTGCCTCCCCGATCACGGAGATAGCCGCGGCATTATCAGGTGTTCCGAGAGCTCTCAGATAAGAATTATCAGTCTCCAACGCGCAGTTCACCAAAAAAGGTGCCAGAGCCCGCTCAGTCCATCCTCACACGAGACGATGATGTACCTTTTCCTTACGATTGCGTTGCTCCTCCAGGGCGGGCGTTCCATGGACTATCAGAACGCTCCCAATTACAGTTGAATATTTACTGAATAATTTAAATAGAAAAGAATTTAACCGAGTTCTACAGTAAACCCTTTTTCCTCGGCAGATTTCGGCCCGAGGGGAACTGTCAGAGTTGGTGCGCCATGCCTGAGGGATTGGCACTGCATACAAAAAGCATTCTGCCGGTTTCAAAATACCTGTTCGTGCGAGACCAACTACTCTCCTTCGGCGGATGGGTCAACATGTCACGCAGGTAAGTCATTCGCTAAAATATGTATCTAATTTTGAAGAATCGGAATCGGCTCAGTTGGATGCGACGTGATGATTCATGAAATGAGTCAGATTTTCCTAATCTATCGGTAAAGATCGCTATCAGTGCCGAAAACGCCTATTTGTGGATTTAAAGGATATAGAAAACGGGGTTCCTTACGATTGTCCCCAGTTTTTTAAAAATAATCCTTACAATGATCCCCAGGTGTTGAAAACAATTCTGAATAGATGTACTGCACAGTTTAGGAGATAATAAATAATGAAATAAGAAAACTAGGGTCGATTTTTCCATTTTATGAGAACACGCTTCTTACGATGTTCTTAAAAAACGAATCCGCGGTAGAATGAGACACTGCGAATACGGTGAATTTTTTTGTAAAATTTTATAGTTCATAGTTTCGATATTCGACTCTAAAAAATGAAAATTTCGTGAAATCATTTCTTATTTGATTCAAAGAATTAATTAACAAATAATTTCTTATTTGATTCAAACAGCTATTGTTGCATTCATCAACAACAGATGAGGATAGATAATATTATAGAAATATTATATTATTTGCTTGGGATATAGAATTAATATTGCAAACTCAGCTTATAATACAATAAATTAAATACCCTTAAAATGACTAGTTCCGGCCGTTCTTCTGAGTCCAACGCTTCGTCCAAATGTTAAAATCTCAAAGGAAATTAATAATCCCGGAAAATATGAGGAAATTACACGTTTCGAATGCTCAAGGCATGTGCTCATTCCTCTTCAGGTGTATTTATTCAACACTATAAAAACAAAACCAACAGAATGATGACAAAAATTGCATTTCAACTGTTTCATCCAAACCAAAAAAATATAAATTAAAACCTCATCTCAATAATTCTTTCAACAGATTGAGATTTAAATATTTAGATGAAGCATTGAACCGAGAAGAATGGCCGGAACTAGTCATTTTTGAGGAAAAAATTACGGTCGGAGCAACAATTTTACGAATAAATTGAGTACTTTTCTTCCTTTTGACACGTGTGATGATTTAAGCGTGTCGTTTTGGGGTGCGTATCATAAACTAATCATTAAATGATTCAGTTACCGGCACCTTCTGCACAAACAACAGGCATTGCATGACGATGTCCAACGCGGAGTGCAGTCAGGGCGCCTGCCGGTGTCAAAGTAATTATTTTGCGGATATCAAGAACGCTTCCAATTGCATCATAAGTAAGTTATGAAATAATTTCGATATTTCTCCCATTTTTGTAACTTCAGTTACGAATGTATTATACCCTTTTCGCCAAAATTCACGTTTTTTTAATTTTCCTGGTAAACTGTTGATCGCATTGACGCGAAAAATATACCGTTTCTGCGTTTTATCATTACTTAATGACTCACGAAATTTCCTGATCGTGAAATCAATTACCTCCGTTTCAGTAGTGAAGCGGTAAACCGAGTCAAGTCGATTTTGACTATTAGCCAGTTTTTGCTGAATATCTCGGAATCTAAGAGAGATAGCAAAATTTTTCTCATGACTTTTTTTATAACGCTCTATTAGCTCTACAAAAAAGGTCATGACAAAAATCTTTCTATCTCTTTTAGATTCCGAGATATTCGTCAAAAACTAGCCAATAGTAAAAAACGACTTAACCCGGTTTACCGCTTCGCTACTGGTTTTTTCTAAAACTTTTCGGAAATTCACGAAACTTTAGAAAAAATGCAGGAAAATGATTGCACTACAATGAAACTTTGTGACTCAGTCAACAATGATAAAACCAGAAACGCGATCCGATCAATAATCTGCCAGAAAAATGAAAAAAAAATGAATTTTGACCGATAGTACATTCT